TACAAGTATCAGGAAGGAAATCAAACTGGAAAGTAAGGTGAACCTTCTACAGGAGTTTCCCATAGTCTTGGATTGGCATTTGTAGACAAAGAGTGTGAGTTGCTGCTGATAAAATGTTGCATAGCGTTAAAGATTTTGAGCACCAAAGTAGCAGCTTCAATAATACAATCTATCCAATCAGCATTGGTAGCCCAATGAGTAGGCATGAATTGTAAAGTCCTCTATAGGTTTGGTCAGGAGATCCAGGCAAAATAAAGTTCTTTCTTCAGGCTCTAAATAGAGAATTTGACCGAAAAGCCAAAATTCATTTTCATTTTCTGTAGAGTGCAAGCTCATTTGTTGCCAATAGGATTGCCGAGTTCATAGTCAAGGTTGATCGATTGAAAGCTTATTTTATACAATGAATTGGGATAAAATAATGTGCTTCGTTTTACAACTTTTGTACATTTGCATTTCATGCATCGTATTTTTGCATATTGACATTGCCTTTCATTTTGATAAGGTCAGTTGGCTAATGTATAAAAGTAAATGAATGAGAGAGTGAATGATATAAACTGTGGGTAGAGACTTGTGAGAAGGGTCTGAATGTAAGTGCATTGCAGTGCCAGTATACTACAACCGCCAAATGATAAACCAGTGCAAACCCAATCTTGCTCGTAGAAGAGAAGGATTATCTGTATGTGTATTTATTTCAAACCATGCTTTAGAACCACATGTTCATATCTATTTCCTAAATGTTCACATGTAGAAAGCCAATGTACGTGAAGCAAGGATGGGATTGTTATATGATTTGTGAAATGAATGTTATTTTTTTCCAGATATGCTACTATCTAGAGTTGGCTTGGATAACCCATGAGCTGCAAAACATACATATTTTAATGGTCCTTTTTGGTCCATAAAGTTCCCTAAAATTTGTTTGACTTCTGAATAACCATGGCAATTGCTGAGTAATCAACGATACCTGGCATAATAGCAGATTCCCAAGATAAAGATTCCCTACTATAAAGTAGTTATTATGTTATAGGGCTCCACAATATCCTTAAATAATCTTTGTGGATGTCTCTAATGTTTCTCTGAAACAAAGAGCAGATACAGTTGTGTCAAAACATACAATTTATGCATTCAGCTTAAGGGAAATAAGAATGTTCTGAAGGAAAGATTGGTTCCTGACACTAATTTATTCAAGTAGCTTGAAAGAATTGCAGGCTTTTTATTGTTACTTTGGCAGCATTGTAATAGCCTGTAAGGCTATCTAGCAGCTCCTGACTTGTGGGCAGCCTTATACCCTCTGACCAAGCCCTTAGAGCCTTAACATATGCCATTCAGAGAGGTGTAGAATCAAGTAGCCTGTAGGCACTCTAAGAAATGGTTGCAAGCAGGTTCAGTTGCTGAAAAATCTTGCCAAGAAAACTGCAGGGGCTTCTCCAGGCAGTCTCTAAAAATCGGATACGATTAAATGAAATGGGGGGGGGAATGTGATAGATCTAAGTTTAACTTCTGATTGGGCTCATCTCTAGGAAATATTTTCAGACAAAATCTCAACTCTGAAATAATTACATATCATGGTAAGACATTTTGTAGTTTATGGCTTGGTAAACAAACAATATAATTTATAGTGCTACCAAATTGCCAATATCGTGTTAAGCCATAATATAGTTTTCTAGGATTGGATTAGTGTATTGCATGAATTCAGTCAATTTTGTTTGCAATTCGTGATTCAAGATTTAATATAGAGTTGCGAAAGGTATGCTGCAGGGAGTCTACTTCCTCCCTTTACCCCATTAATACTTTTGCCCCTTCTTTGGTTTATTTTTTTAAATGGGGAGATTGCAGAAACATAACACACTTTGGATCTTAATCTTTGTTACACCCTCCCAAGTGGAACCTGTCACCACCTAGTCTTGGTGTGTATCCTGAAACTGTATATTCCTGACTTAGTATATTGTATGACCCAATTTCAGTTCAGCATATTCAGTGTCATCTATGAGTAACAAAGATGTTTAAAAGAGGAGAGGGTAGGCAAAAGGCTGCTGAGCTATTGCTCAGTAATTTCTGTAGTTTTGAACAAGTACAGTGGCTCCATATTTGTAGTGCTCTAATTAGAGATAAGTAGGGATGGTGAATTAAGGACACTGTTAAGAAAACTGCAAAAGGGGACAAATAGGTACATGTGATATATTTGGCATGGGTCTAGACAGTTATTGAAAAGGGTTAGGCAATCCAATTGCAAAAAGGTTCATTTTCCAACTGGAGTGTCAAAAGATGACAGGATTTAGGCTGTTAGAAAAGAATCCCAAAGGTAAAATACCACTTAAAACTAGTCCCATGTGGAGTAGAGATTCTCTGGCTCCTACTTTTCTGGATTCTTTGGCAGCTGTTTATTATATGACAATATCTATGGGCTCATATCAGGGCCGGATTTAGATGAAAAGAGGCCCTAGGCTATTCCACTTATGAGGCCCTTTCACCTATAGTGAAAGTGTAATTTTAATTTTGCTAACAATATGAATGTAGACCCCTCTTGATCTTGAGGCCCTAGGCTGAAGCCTAGTTAGCCTATAGGAAAATCCAGCCCTGGCTCATATTTTGCTTTAGAAACAGCAGAACCTATTATTTTGTCATATGGGCTGTGGGATCTATTCTAAATATATATCCTGAAGAAAACTGAGAGGAGTAAATTGAAGACCCTATTATGAAATATAGGATATATTTGGCAGGACAATTTGTGGACAGACAAGATCATCATTGTCATATGACCTGCTTGTGCATTTCTGGAAGCAATTAGTGGGTCACCAACATTGGTCCAAGGTATTTTACTGCCTTAAACAAATATGGTGCACCTTCTAACACTAGATTAGAAATGGAATTTTATTTCAGCACCAGTGACAGCATCTTTCATAGCCCCTGAGGACAGCAGGCTCACTCAGAAAACAGGAGGTATAGTTATTATACACACAATTCTCTCTTCCAACAACTTACAATTGTTCCAGTTTTCCCAAAAGGAGGTGGGGAAGCTACTCACTCTTCCCAATTGCCCAACTGGACTGTTGTGAACAATCCATATAGAAATAGCATACTTGACAAGATGAATCTTTGGTGATTTAGGAAGATTGCTGTATACCAATCTAGCCTCCTGGGACTTTAATTTTATAGTAAAGGAAGCCAGTTGTATGTTAAATGCTTGGACTGTCTAGCACAGGGGTGTCAAACTCAAGGCCTGGGGGCCGGATCCGGCCTGCGGGGTGCTTAGATCTGACCCGGGGGGGGGCGGCCTGGAAACAGCAAAGAACCAGCCCGCAGTGCCTCTGCTAGGTAAAATGGAGCTCGGTGGGGGGGGCTGCGCACGGGCCCCCCATGCCCTGTTTTTGCTGGCAGAGGGCTATCAAAAGAAACTAAAAACAAAAGGAGAAATTTTGCATTTGAGCATGCAAGAAAGGACAGGAACGGAGAAAGGAAAAGAGGAAAGACAGAGAAAAAGAAGATGGAAAGAGAGCAAGGAAGGAAAAAGCGGAAGGAAGAAGAAAGGAGAATGAAGAGGGAAGGAAAAAGGAAGGAAGGAAGGAGATTATAATGAGAGTGAGGGAGGGTCTCAGTGAAGTCCTGCCTTAGCACTTGGCCAACACAGGTGCCCTCAACACAAGTCCCATGTCACGCCTACCATGGCCACGCCCACCATGGCAATGCCCCCACCCCAGCCCTCCAAGGCCAAACACAACCCTGATGCAGCCCTCCATGAAATCGAGTTTGACACCCCTGGTCAAGCATCTCCAGGGACAGAATCCCATATTGCAGGTATTTCACTCTGCTAGTCATTGCCAACTATAGGAGGCAGTGCAGAACCGGGTAGGAATCCTGTGTCACCAAGATTTTAGAGGGCTATTGCCAGCTTGAAGACATGAAATTGAACTGGATTGGCCATTCAATAATATAAGATTGTAAACCTGTGCCATTTCAAAAATACAACATGGGAATAATTGAAACCAGAACTTTGGCTGTTAATTAGATGAACATAAAAACCAGCTACAATCTCAGAATCCGTGCTGTAAGAAGAATATGATACCCTCCAGGGATGCTGGACAGTATCTTCCATCATTTTCAGACAGATTGGCTGAGAATGCTGGCTGGGAGTGATGGGTTCAGAATGCAGGGGATCAATCCCCATCACCAAGTTGGGGACTACCCTAAATTTGAGGAGAAATTCTGATTTTTCTCATGCAAATAACATGTCTCCTTAAAATGTAACCAGCTTCAGCCAGTTACTGCCCTACTGCCATTTCTTTCTTCACTTTCTCTACATAATTGAGGAGCACCCAGAGGCTCCAACTGATGCAGAGTGCAGCTGCGCGGGTGGTAATGGGAGCGACATGGCGTTCCCATGTAACACCCCTCCTGCGCGAGCTGCACTGGCTCCTGGTGGTCTTCCGGGTGCGCTTCAAGGTTTTGGTTACCACCTTTAAAGCGCTCCATGGCTCAGGACCTGGGTACTTGCAGGACCGCCTACTACCACCAATAGCCTCCCACCGGCCGGTACGCTCCCATAGAGAGGGGCTCCTCCGGGTGCCGTCGGCCAAACAATGCCGACTGGCGGCCCCCAGGGGGAGACCCTTCTCTGTGGGGGCACCAACTATCTGGAACGAGCTCCCCCCAGAGATACGGAGGATCCCGGATCTGCGTACCTTCCGCCGCGCCTTAAAGACCTTTTTATTTCACCAGGCAGGCCTGGCCTAATTTTCTCCCTCTTTTATAAAAGATTTTTAATTTTTTAATTTTTTAGTATTTTATATATTCAAATTTTAAAATAGGTTTTAAATTGATTGGGGTTTTAATTTGTCTGGGCCAAAACTATTTAATTTGATTTTAATTCCACTTTTAAATTTTGTATGTATGTATTTTATTGTTTGGCTGTGCACCGCCCTGAGTCCTTCAGGAGTAGGGCGGTATAGAAATCAAATAAAATAAAATAAAATAAAAATGTAATATCTCTCTCTATCCTACTGCAGGTGGAATCTCCTCCAATGGTCAATTTAGAACTCTACAGCAACAGTTTAGCTCCAGATCCCAAACCAATGGCACAGATCACAATGGTTTGGTAAGTAGAGCTGTTTCTGTTTCCTGTTTCTATTAATATTTAACCATACTTTATTCCCACCATTATTTATATTTTTCAGTGTCAAAGGATTCTGATTTGGGTGGATAATTTATATGCATATATGTCCTTCCTGTTGCTGACTTCCAGCACTGCAACCTTTAAATGATGATGCCATATGATACTCTTGTTTACCCTAGTAATGGTATCAGGGCAAGCAGGGCCTATTCTTAAACCCCAATGTTACTGAGGGCAGCCTGTAGCTCCCAGAATCCCTGTAATAGGTGCTCATTAGTATATAGATTAGATTATTTCAAAATATCTCGGTTGATCTAATAACTGGCATGAAGGAAATGTGTGTGTGTATGTGTATATGAGACAGAATTTATCTGCATTTGAAAACAAGTATTTTCAAATAACTTTCCCTTCTTTCTTTCCTTCTTTCCTGCCCCTTGCAGCTCCACCATTCGGTTGGCAATAATGGCTATAATTCTGTGAAGGCTGCTGGCTGGTCCTCCCGCTCAGCAGTGGATCTCAGGCCCAATACTAGAATAGCTTCTATAAACAATGGCACTGGCCCCAAAAGTCCACTGTATGGCACGAATTACAGTTCCACCACCCGACCCAGGTCTTTCAATGACAAGAACTACCGGAACTGTCAGAACTATGACACCATGTCCTTGCACTCCCTGCGTCTGACAGACGGACCCTGTGCCCCTGGGGGTGGGGATGACCACTACAGTGTAATGTCTGAGATGGATCCAGTGACCCAAGCAACTCTCTATAAAAACCGGGGTGGTGGTGGCTTCCAAAGATCCTACACCTTTGAGAGGCAGATGAGTGCTGGCTCTAACGCTTGTGCAAAGCGACCTCTTGACTGGATGGATGGTATGGTGGTCCCACAAATCAGGCCCGTCATCCGTGCACCGGCCATGCGCACATTGCAACGTTTCCAGAGCAACAACCGCTCCCGATTTAGTACAGGCTCTTTCAGTGGCACTCATGCCTCTCAAGGAGTGGCTGGGAACACTTATGCTTCAGTGGAGCGTACTTCCCGTGCCCCCTCTGTGCACAGTTTGGCTGAATCCAACCACCATTTGCAAGACCTGCATGGCATGGACATGTTTGATGGTCAAAATACACTGATGTCCCAGCAGTCCTACTCTGGTGGGTAAGTGTGCTTTGAATTTATAGGAGTGCAATGCTCTGGTCCTAACTGAGCTGAGGAAACTGGAACAGATGGCTTTCAGCCACTTAGCTGCCCTGAATTCCAACCAAATCAATTTCTATTGACAGCGGAAGGTGAGAATGACATGACTGCAGTTCAGGCACACAAAGTATATAGTCCTAGACTGAAACCTAGCCATTGGGGCATAGAGCATTTAATATTTGCATATTATTTCTTTGCCTGGGTGTTCTTTATTGGTGAATCTGGAAGTTAGGATACCTGATTACCTGTTATGCCTAAAGGACTCAGGTGGCAAAAGTATGATATCAGTGTCTGGATCCTGCCTTTATTGAGCAGGAAGCCACCTAAAATAAACAGCACAGGAAAATAATGCAAGTTATGTTCTGTGTGCTCACTGGTTTTCATATTCGGGAGTTGTAAATGAGATTATTCTGAACCTGGGCAGGCATTGACATTTCTGTCAGTCCTAATTAAACTTACAGGGTGTTGGTATGTGGCATTTTTCTATAACAGATGTTTATATAACAGATGGGTTATTTCAGTTATTCCTTGTTGACTGACTATAGGTGTAACAGCTGAGATTGACAAGATAAGAACCATTGGTTCCCAGACTAGAAATAGCCAGATTGAAAACATATCTCATTTTTTTAAAGCAATAGGGTGAGCCAATAGGTTTTGGTTAATTGAGAAAAGTGAAAGAAAGAAGCTTAGAAATGAAACAACTGGGAATGAATGAATTAATTTTTACCTCTCTCCCCTCACTTCTCTCTCCCCCTCCTTCTCCCTCGGTCTGTCCCTCTCTCTATCTCAATGCATTGCATTGGGCAAGCAGCTGTTAGCACAGAATCTTAATTTTTTTATCACAACATAAAATCGGGGGGTGGGGGTCCGGAGTTTTTCATTCTGAGAAATTACATTTGTGTTTGCAAAAAATAAAGCAAGTTATTATGTAAGGGGAAAGGCTTATGTAAGGGAATATTGAATAGCAAAAGCAAAGTAATAATTTAGAAACTTGATGTACAGTATGGTCTGATTATCCCAGCTCTGTAACCCTATTTTATCAGGCTCTTTCCTTATTAAGTTCTCTTCCCTCCTCTTCCCCATCCTTTTTTTAAAGCAAGATCTTTACATTTTGGCAAGAAATTCAAATTCCTTGTATGCCTCAGACCAGCTAGCAGGGCAATTATGTATCTATATGCATATACATAGTTTTCTTTAGTAGATATAGATAGTCCTCAACTTACAACTGGTCACTTAATGACCATTCAGGGTTACAACAGACACCCCCTACACACCTCCAAAAGGTACTTACGGCCCAATTTTGAAGTTCCAACAGCTGCAACCCTGTGCAGTCATATGATTGCATTTTGAGCAACTGGCCCACATTTATGGCCATTTGCAATGTGCCACAGTATATAATCACATTTTTTGCTGGTTTCCAGCATGTACTTCTAGTTTCTGACAAAAAAAGCCCATTGGATAAAATAGATTGACTTAACGACCGTGGTATGCTCACTTAATGACCATCCAAAAAAACAAAATCAGGAATGGTCAAGTGGTGACCCGCTTAATAACTCCAACAATTTGTGACTATAATTCTAGACTGAATTACAGATAATACTAGATTATCTAGCCCACAATTGAGCTCAAAAATTACGTTGCTAAGCGAGAAATTTGTTAAGTAAGTCTTGCCCCATTTTACAACATTTCTTGCCACATTTGCTAAGTGAATTGCTGCAGCTGTTAAATTAGTAACACGGTTGTTAGGTGAATCTGGCTTCCCCAGTGACTTTGCTTGTCAGAAGGTCACAAAAGAGGATCACATATGACCCCAGGACACTGCAACCCTCATAAATGTGAGTCAGTTATCAAGCATCCAAATGTAAATCACATGACCGTAGGGATGCTGCAACGGTCATAAGTGTGAAAAGCAGTCATAAGTCACTTTTTTCAGTGCCATTGTAACTTTGAATGGTCATTAAGCGAACTGTTGTAAGTCGAGGACTACCTGTACAGTTGAATTTGGGGGGGGAGAATGGGTAAGCACAACAGTCAGATGAATATTATTAAAAATCTCTGTAAAAAAGGAGAAGATTTGAAATGGCATCATGTCCTCTCTGGTTTAATTTTGGTTTCAGATTTGATGACATTGATCTTCCCTCTGCGGTGAAATACCTGATGGCCAATGACCCCAACCTCCAGGTGCTTGGGGCTGCTTATATCCAGCATAAGTGCTACAGTGACAATGATGCCAAGAAACAGGTGAGGCTATGATAGATGGATTGATAGCTGAAAGGATGCCTAAGATCCCAATATAGTTTGCAGGTTTACTCAATGATGACTCACCTTTAAGAGGTTATGTCATGCTTTGGGTTTTTTTTAATAGATTTTATTTATTTAAAAATACAAACAAAACAAACAAGTAACAAAACATACAGAACATGTAAACAAAAATTCAAATATACATCTTATCAAAGTTGTTGCAACTGTAATCTATGTTTTTATTTGTGCTTTTGACACCTCCTTGTTTTGGTCTTTCTCTTATATCTATCTTTGTAGTTCACTGTTAACCTGCATTAGTGGTTTGTGTTCCTATCTCTATATTACATCACTCCAATTTCTTCCTAGTCTTTTTTTTCCTTTTCTATCTTTCAACCAAGTGTACCACTTTTCCCATACTAGATAAAAGTCATGTTCCTCTTTTTCTTGTAATTCCTTTGTGAGTTTGTCCATTTCTGCACATTCCATGATTTTACTAATTACTCTATCTTCTGTTGGTATGTCATTACTCTTCCAATTTTGTGCAAAAATTATTCGTGCTGCTGTTATTATATGAATGATTAAATACTTTATTTCCTTTTCGTATTGTCCATTTATTATACCTAGTAGAAAGGTTTCTGGCCTCATTTCTATTCTTTGTTGTGCAATTTCTTCTATTTGTGTTCTAATCATTTGCCAGTATTGTTTTGCCTTTGGGCAGGTCCACTACATGTGATAGTAGGTTCCTTTATGGAGTTTGCATTTCCAGCATGTTGGGGAGGTATTGGGGAACATGCTTTGTTAAAACGGTTCTGGTGAGAGGAGTTCCTGCATGTTAAGATTATTTGACTGAGAAAAAGGCAGCTTGCCTAGAGACAGGATGAGAGGTGCACATGGGTGGAGATGACACGGGATGAGATGGCTCCACATCTCCCCTCTTCTCTCTTAAGATGTTGGCCACTCTCCCTCTTTCCATAGGCTCGCAGTCTCCAAGCCATATCCAAGCTGGTGAAGCTCTTCAACAGTTCCAACCAAGAGGTGCAGCGCCATGCCACTGGTGCCATGCGCAATCTTATTTATGACAATGCTGAGAACAAGCTGGGGCTGGTGGAAGAAAATGGAATCTATGAGCTGATGCGCACTTTGCGGGAGCAGGATGATGAATTACGCAAGAATGTTACTGGTGAGTGAACAATGTTGTAGACAAATTGCGGGTGGAGGATTGGGAGCATGGATCTGTATCCCACTCAAGAAATAGGAAAATTAAAAATAAATAGGAGAAGTCATAATTTTTTTCGAACTACTGTATTTTTCAGAGTATAAGATGCACCTTTTTCCCCCCTAAAAGGGGGTGAAAATTTAGGTGCATCTTATATATCAAATGTAGCCCTGCCCACCCACTGGTCCCCACCCTTTGGCCTCTGCCTCGCAGCAGTTACCTACTTGCAAGCAAACAGCAAGAAAAAACAGCTCCTTTCAGCTTCAGCACAGCCTAATTTTTTTTTTATTTGATTTATATGCCGCCCTTCTCCGGAGACTCAGGGTGGCTTACAATGCATTAAGCAATTAGCACAAGTTGATTGGATCGGCCTCCCGACTCTCAGCTGATTTGCTCCCAGCTGTTTTGTGCAGGGCTCTGCTGCTTGCTGCAGAGAGGTAAATTGCTGGAGCAGATTTTTTTTTCCTTATGCTAATCAAGCTATGCTGAAAATGAAAATGAAAGTAAAGCAGGCTGTTTGCTGTTTGCTGCAACGAGGTAAAATTGCTCAGAGGCAGAGGGAGATTTCTTTTTCTTCTTTTCCTCACCAAAATAGGTAGGTGCGTCTTATACTCCGGTGCATCTTATACTCCGAAAAATACGGTAATTTCAAAATAGTCTTTCTTTCCCCACCCTTCGGCCCAAACAAGAACCTAAATGCATTCCAATGTCACAGAAAAGAAATAGGGAAGCTGCCAAATATAGGAGCCATGGTGGCACAGTGGTTAAAATGCATTATTGCAGGCTAACTCTGCTCACTGCCAGAAGTTCGATCCTGACTGGCTCAAAGTTAACTCAGCTTTCCATTCTTCTGAGGTCAATAAAATGAGGACCCAGATTGTTAGGGGCAATATGCTGACTCTGTAAACTGCTTAAAGAGGACTGTAAAGCACTATAGAGTGTTATATAAGTCTAAGTGTTATTGCTATTATTATAGCCTTCCACTGGAAAAAAGTATGTCTTGCCCTACTATTACATATAATTTCCACTGTATCTTAACACAAGGGTCAGAAGAGGAGAAATCTTAGTATAATGAGACTGTTCCTTGTGATTAATAGCCAAATGTTACAGTAGGAGGAAGCAATTTTTATCTTAGAGAAATTGTTCTTAATGGGAAATAGAAACAATTCTGGCTTTTTAACAAAAAAAAAATTTTTTTTTAAATTAAAAGATACCACTGCATCAACTGGCTGAAAGTGAGTCAGCTTTTATAAAGCAATGCTAATATTTTTTTTCTACTGTTCAACCAAATAACTACCAGGTAAATTATAATAAAATATAAACAATAGCATAACTTTAATCTAGAAAAATAGCTAAACAGAGGAAGAATCATGAGACACATGAAGTTTTCCTCCCACTGGTGTTGCTAGACCTAAGATTCCATTATAAAATGAAACCAAGTTTTAATGAAGCTTTGTGTAGAGGTGACATCTGTTATTCCAAAATGTCTATTAAATATGAAGGTATGTCGTCATGGCCAGTTACGTTATTTTTAATGATTTTACATATTTATTATAATTTCATAATTGCATAGATGGCATACATAATATAATTTGTTCAATGTCATAATCATGCAAAAATGAATTACAGATGTTGCAAAGTTAAGGTAAATTTAATGCTTCATCAGACTACTTAAGATGTAATGGACTTGTTTGTTACATTGGAGAGATGTCTGTTGCATATTCACATTAAATGTGAGTCCATGAAATTATATGCTGTATAAATAATTAGTAATTGAACATGTGGTGTGTCTGGGGTATGGAAGGAGTAAAAAAAAAAGAATAAGGAGAAAACAGATTGGTAGGGGTCAGGAAAGAAACTATGGCCATTTTATCTCCTAATTATTATTATTTAAGCCAGGAAGAATCTTAAACCAGAATGGAAATAAATAACTAGAGTAAATAATTCACTCACAAATTTTAAGGTATAAAAGAAATATGATTAAATCAATAATATAGGGTGGCAATATGATTAAATTGAAATGTAATAGGATTTGAAAACCTTAATGTATCAAGAGAGAAGGGTAGGCAAGATAATGTACAGCAGGTTTTATGCCAGAATTGAAACTGCTGTCTGCCTTAACACAAAGTTGAAATGCAGGCAAGATATTAATTGTATTTGCCTTTTTCTGAAAAAAAAACATTGGCTTCTATTTTCATCTGGAAAGAAGTCTCTGATGTACAGCTGAATTGCATTTACACACTAGTAATCACATTTATAGACAATCCCAATCCCAAAGGATTTGCAACAGTTAATGCAAAACCAAAATGTTTAACCAAGAATTTGCCGAGTAAGCTATAATTTACTGAGTGATACACAATGTCAGGTTGAATTTGCACATCACACTAAACTAAAAATGCTAAGTTTAGTTTATATATGAAACCAGGGACATATTTAAGTTATTTGTGCATTTTGTTTGGTGCAATAAAATGCATTCTTGTTCAGAGCATTTGCCTCCCTTCTGTTCTAAATTCCCTTCATAATTAGTGATGTTCCTTTAATGTTCCTAAAATACTAGTTTATTTCTTAATTCACAAACAGTAAAGCTACATTGAGGAGGGGTAAATGAGTGGAAGTGAAATACTAGCAATTCCTGGATACTCTCTCTTTCCTTGAACATCCTCTTGGGTAGAGATTGGAATGTCAGTCCATTAGCAAGCTCAACTTCAATGTGCCTCAATAAATCCTAGCAAAGAAAGGGTATTAGGAGAGGCTGGGGGAAGGAATGCAAAATTCCTATAAATTAAGTGTTTGTTCTGCTTAACATCAGGAGATAAAGAGAAGCAGGCTGGGGGAGCAAGGGGCACAGTGTGGCTATATGTTGCAGTTGCTGGCAAATACCCTTCCCTAGGAAGAATAGGAATAAAGAGATCTGACAGAGGGAAGAGATTATATTTGCCTTCTGTTATAAAAAGTTGCTCTTCCTGTCCAACAAGCTCTGATTGTTTCATACAAAGACCAATGAGAAAGGTAGGGCCAAAGCTATGGTGCATTGATCTTTCATGCATATTTCTAGCATGTTGGACTCTTGTGAAATGTTAATGGAATTCAATTGAAGTTGGAGTGAGTAAATCCCTTGATATCATAGTCTAGGGGACCAGATGATCTTAACAGGGTGCTATTATGTTGGGAGGGGGTGATAGTTAGAGAAGATAGATCCCTTATAAAATGATGTGCTGTTAGTGTATCTCACCAGAGAAATTGGCTGGAATGTTCCCCTGTTAGAAATGTGAACAAGATGAAGGGACATATTATCATATTTGGTGAGCGTGTAAAAAAGCTGGAAATTTTTAGATTCAAATACACAAACTGTTTCAGAGTGCACAAAGTTGGAAAGATTCAGCATGGAGGAATGGCTGGTGAAGATGATGGAACTTGCTGAGATGGATACATTTACTTCTTTGATCAGAGGAAAGGCAATAGCTACATTTATTGCTGACTGGAAAACCCTTCTAATGAATTTATTGAATGATCAGGAATTTATGGTTTGGGTGATTTGACAGGATTATAGAAAGAAGAGAGTTATGAGGAGTAAAGGCCAAATTTATAATTGTACTTGTAACTGCTGTAAAAAAGATTGGAAGTTAAAAAACAGAAAAGACAAGTGTCTACTGCCTTCAAGTGAGGATGAGTTTGTCCAGAGAGAGTGATTTCCCATCTTTTGCCAACTACATGGCAAAAATCTAAGTTTATTATGGGAATGTTTTCTCAGCTCTCTTGTGTACTAAAGTCCTTCATATACGATCAGCAAGCCCAAAGTGCCAAAATAAATACTGCAGTAATAATTGTATTATTTTTCCTAGTAGCCTGGGGTTAATTACAGTCTTGCACAAGATCCACTTTCTAAACTAGACAAACCTAGGGCCCTCCTTTAGTTTTCATCCATTAATTCCCTCATAAACCATCTGCCTCTCTACCAATATGCAAGCAGAGTAAATCCCAGCTAAATCTGCATCACTGTCTTAGTTTCATAAGAGGAAATACCACTTCATCTTTCTTTATGTTGCTTCTCTGTTAAGCGAATTCTGACTTTTTGAAGTCTCACTTTATTTTTTCTCACCCAGTCCTTTGCATTCCAAGAATTCTGTATGTACATAACCTGATTTTCCAGAAGCACAGTATTTTCCCTCCATGTATGGCTTAACTGCTCTTCAGCTACTCGAATGCAGAGTTGCAATGAATATCTTCATTTCATAAGCAAATGTATGTTGGCTGCTAAAAGAACAACCTAAATTCTTGTTTACTAAGTTGTGCTCATCTACATTCACTAGTAAGCCATAATGTGAATTCAGCAATCCTGTCCTTTGATTGCCTGCAATTTGAATGGAAGTGTCTCTGCCTTAAATTGCTGTTTCATTGTCATACTCTCTTCCTGTTAGTGGTTACCAAGCTGGGTTAAAACTCTTTGCATTTTTATTAACAAGTGTAGGGATTAATGTCCCCCTTTGCAAAAGGCATATTAAATATCTGTTCATTCCAAATTTCCCAAGAGGGATAATGATTATGCCTTTCGGCAAAATCAGCTATAGAAGCTTTGGCAGAAGCTGAGGGGAGGCATGAAATTAGTAGCCATACTAAATTTAGTTAGTATGGGGTACTTGTGTGAGTAGGTAAGCAAGTCCAAAGCCTGCTGGGATAGAGGCTTGGCATATCAACATCTACAGCTTCTCAAGCAGCTATGACAGTGGTTGACGCACTGGGATGCTGTAACAGTTAAGACTGCTCATGAACACAAAATAGAATGAATGAGTGACATTTCCTGGTGGCAGCAGATAATAAACTAGAAAGGGGAAGAAGCAGAAGCTGATTCTTGCAGTTTTTACATTGCTAGGCAACCAATATTTGTAGTTATGGGGAGGGGGGGAGTTGATGCTATTGGCCTTATTGAAAGCCTGTTTTCAGGCCTCCCAAAAGTTAAACCTAGCTGGAGAACCCTTTTGTGACTATATAGCATACCCCTTTACAACAAGGAGGAAGAGGCAGAGATCAGCCTATAGCCTTATAGGATCAGATTGTGATTCCTATTATCATTTATCCTCAATTATGTTGGTGGAGTTGATGTTCAACAGTATCTGGGAGAACAGTATTTTCCATCCTTACTGAAAAGTAACCTGACAAATATGAAAACTAAACAAAATTATGTCCTCTAGTCTTGTGGAGCTCTCAGCTGTGAGGATCTAGACAGGGGAAAAAAGGAGATAAGTTGCTGGAAGGCATGGTGCTTGGCTGGGCCTACAAGGCTGTCTTGCTTCAACAAGTTGATATGATTCAGCCATTGTGTTCTTTGCAGTGAAATATTCTAATAATGTTGAGAGCATCACAGCGCTTGATTTGTGCAAGTTTATACACAGCCATCACCTAAGCAGAACCTGTCTGCTTCATATTTTTGCTGTCCAAAAAGAATTTTCTCAGGAAGTTGCTCTGTTTCTGCTGTTTTGTCTCTACTCATTACCCCAACTGATGTAGATAGCTAACAGACAACAATCCAGGATTCTGTTAATTTCCTCAGGCTTCACTAAAACAATCAGAATTTTTTGCAACCACTGGCTTTTCTACAGAATAGATCTGCAGTATACATGTTGGCCTAGTTGGTTCTTTCCTCACAATGGGCACTTATCTGTTGCATCCTATGTGAAAGCAGATTGTTGTCAGAAATAATCTAGAAATAATCTAACTGCTTTTTTAACATTGAGTTTCCAGTTTATTTCAACTATTGTTTAATTAAGGGAACTTGCTGGCTCACTGGAACAATAGTTTAAAAAAGGGTTTGAGAAGACATGAAATAGCTTGCATGTACATTTAATACCAGAATCAAATGAATGAGTAATCTTGGTTGTACTCCAGGATTCGGCAAATAACAGGTCTTGCATTATTCAGAGTTGCTATGGGATCCAGCAAAGAAAACATTAGTCTGAGGGTAGTAATAGTGCTCAATGGCCCTGCTCAGCCATAGGCTCAGGTGGCCTTAGGAAAGTCATTCTGTGCCAGGTGACATGGGAAAGCAAATGGGACAGGTTAACATCTTTCCAACCGGTAAATTCTTTGTATGTAAGTTTCAAGGCACTTTCTGAATTTGGGATAATTCAAAAGTAACTTCAAGACAGGTCAGGGCATCATTAGACTGGTGTTTTCCCTCTGCAATTTTGCTCTGCAGTTAAAAATCTTCCTCTGAGTTTAGTCTTAGCTGCCTACTTGTAAAAGTGAAAATGTGACCTAAACCTAGTTGTTGAAAAGATTAATGAGATAAGGATTGTGAAGCATTCTGCACTCTAAAAGTTAATGATGATGATGATGATAATTATAACTTGAAAGCAACACAGGGATAAAATAATATACTGCAACTTTTACCTTATTCTGGATGTGTTGTGCATGAACAGTAGCCTAAAAACCATGTTTATTTCCATGAGAAAAAAACTTATGTGATTTTAAATCTCAGATTGATGAAATGTGTTCATTCTCTACTTCTGACTTCGTTTTGTATTGACACAGAGGAAAATCTGGCTGAACTCTTCTGTGTAGCTGCTGCTTTAAAAGTTACTGGTTTTACATATGTATATGTTACTATGGATGCAATTCAACTTCCTTTTTCTTTTTCTCCCTCTTTATTTTCTGATTTGTTTTAGTTTTAGCTTTTTTTCTCCTTTTGATATCATAAGCAATAAATATTGTTATAAAAAGCTGATTACTTGTAAATCCCAAAGGTCTGGTATGTATAAGGAGCCATTCTAATCTTGCTGAATAATGCCTTCTGTAAAGATATTGTCTCATTCCGCTGTCTTCTGATTGATGGCTTTGCAGGCATTTTCTGGAATCTGTCTTCAAGTGATAACCTCAAGGACCGCCTTGCCCGGGACACTTTGGAGCAGCTCACAAACCTGATCTTGACCCCTCTCTCCGCCTCAAGGAATGCGGCTATTATCCAGCAAAATGCCTCTGAGTCAGAAATCTTCTACAACGCCACTGGCTTCCTCAGGTATTTAACTATATGAGAATTATAGGAACTGAAAGAAGTAGGAAAATCCTGATCGATAATAGTGGTCATTGTTGTTATAACCTTTTAGTAAGATTGGTAGGGATAAAAAGAGAAATCTCATTCAGCAAAACTAGTTCACAACTAATGTAGAAATAGTGAACACCATGACTTTCATAAGTTTCTCAGGCAGTTGAGTATGCTCTGTATTGTATGGATAGAAGAGAATATTTGTCTGTCTGTATGGTATGCTTCCACTAAATATATATGGGAGAGTTATTCATCCATAGCATTCCTCATTTATGCTCTTTTAGTCAGTGTCACTGATTTGATACATAGCAAAGATTAGAATCAGGACAATAGCAACACGATCAGCACATTATGTTTCTGACGGAAGAGGATGAAATTGAATTAGTACTTGAAGTGGAGTGTAATTCATTTATGATATGTATCTATATATGGCTGCTGGAACATTATGTTGGATTGCAAAGCAAGATACTACGAGAGTGCAATTCTTACTATGAAAATATTCTTTTTTCCCCGCAAATATAAATCAAATTTTGCTGCCACTTCATTTTGTCAAGATTGTGGCTGCATTATATGACTTAATTTTTGCTGGTTTGAATGTCTATAATTGGCCATGCTTGGTAGAGTCAATGAAAATGGGGATTCTGCAACAAATTGCTGATTCATGGTTCAGATAATATTCTGGATCCATATTTTACTGCTTAGTGGAGGGGGACAGATTATCTGAAAAAATGTTCCCTGAGATATTGTATTTCTTTTCTAAGAATAAGAGGCCAAAGACTTGAGTTTGAAGAGGGTGCATTGAAGGAATATTTTTGTAATTATACCCCTTCCTGTTTCTCCTGTAGGAATCTTAGCTCTGCTAGCCAGCAGACTCGGCAAAAAATGCGTGAATGCCATGGATTGGTAGATTCCATGGTTAGCTACATAAATAGTTCACTGGAAGTGGGAAAATCAGAGGATAAGGTGAGATCTTCTGTTTTATTCTAAATCCAGCTTGAGTCAAGTAAATATTTAATTGGGTTGTCCTTCATAGTCCATCCAACATACTTTTCCTTAGGTTTAACCAGTGGTGGGATTCAAATAATTTAACAATCGGTTCTCTGCCCTAATGATTTCTTCCAACAACCAGTTCACCAAACTGCTCAGAAAGTTAACAACTGGTTCTCCCGAAGTGGTATGAACTGGCTGAATCCCACCACTGGGTTTAACCTGTCATTTCATATTTACCTAAATAAATTGCTGAATGAAACATTTACTATTTATGGGCTACCAGTTCAGTAAAGAGGCATTGTAGAAGATAGATACTTTCTAGACACACATTTTTAAGGCAAGCATTGAAAAGAAACCAAAGGTGTAACAGTAAATGTTATACATAATGCACAAGAACATCAACATTTCATAAATTTAACATTAAGATAAAAATTTTGGTTAGGGTGGGCACCTGCCAGATGCATCTCCGTAAAAAATAACACTTCCATTTAAACTTTTCTTTTTAGATATAATCTAAAAAAATGAAGTGCTTTATATTACTGCAAGTACAGTAATTAGAATATCAGATCAAGGCTGAGGAGATGTGGGTCTGAATTCATCTTCAGCCATGAAATTCACTAGGTAATCTTAGCCTGTCAATAATTCTCTGACTGCCCTACTTTACAAAACAATTGTGACAATAAAATGAAGAGAGCCAGTGGCTGTGTTTGTAAAACACATTTAACTTTGTTCCTGATTATTTTCTTGGTTTGCAAGGTACATTGAAGGATAAATCTCAGCTGGCCTTTGTTCACACAATATTCTAAGACAGTCAGAGGTAACCAGAATTAAAGTGAATCAAGTTTAGCTTGTCATGCAACTGTAGCTGCTAAGTCTGTAGTTGACCTTGTTGACCTTGTTGAGTATACAGCCAGTGAAATACACCTCATGCTCCATGTGCAAAGGTGGATATCCATGTAATAATTTAAAATATATGATATTATGAATTGTCTAATAGACTAAAGATCTGGTTCTTCAAGTAAAGTCCAATGCTCTTGGAATAGAGATATCCAGGAACTTATTCTTCAGCCTAAAAGATTCTTGGCAAAAATACAATATGGGTGGCTTCTGGCACCGAAACAACCTGAATCTGTCAAAAGCTGATGAAGATTCTTGTTATAAGATGCCTCAAGCAAACATGTGAAAAGCAAATGATGCATCATTAAACAAATATGTAGGTTTGATACAAAAATATTATAAAATACTCTTTGTTTGGAGCTCTCTATATTATTGCCTAAGGGATCCTCTAGCAAGAATCAAATAGAAATCAGAATATATAAAATACACTATTAACATCTGAACATCAATTTAACCCAATTTAGTCTATGCCAGTTACTATTAAAAATTAAGAAAATAATAGAAAAATTGCAATAAATAATATACTATAAAAAGGTTTGTTTTGGGTTTCTGTTTTTATTTTTTCAAAAAATGGATTTTGTCCTCACAGAGTGTTGAGAATGCAGTCTGTGTCCTGCGTAATCTCTCCTACCGACTTTATGATGAAATTCCTCCTTCCTCACTCCAGCGGCTAGAAGGATATAAGAGGAGTGATGGAGCTAACATGACAAGTGAACTAGTAGGCTGCTTCAGCCCACAAAGCAGGAGGGCCCGAGAGGTGAGACTCTGAAAAATGCCATTATGGGAGAGAACTGAGCCTGTTCTGGGCAGCCCTTACTTCATGGGGTGAAAAGTAACTGAGAAAGAAAGGAAAGAAAGAAGCTCCTGCTTGACTAAGAAGACTAGACTCTGAGCACATCAGGATTCAATCCAAGCCCCTATAGTCAAGAACAGGCCTCAGTCCCATATCTAGAATCTTCACTAACATATTGCTCTGGACAGAATAAATTTTCTCCTTAGCGAAATAGTAGTGAATCCCCACATGAATGGGGAGGTATTCTAGACACTGAAACCCCATTATTTTTTCTGGAATAGAAATTATCTTTGGTAATTGTGATATCTAGAGGGTTCTCAGTTCCTCTGAGTAATATGCCTTGATTGGAGGGAATTAATGCTAAAGTATAAGAAAGGCATAGAGTTGTTATGGGAGGAATAATATCCCGAAAGAACAGTAACTGGGTCAAAATGATTAGAAATAAGATGTGGGAGAATAGGCTCCTTGGGAATGGATTGAGCAATAATAAAGCCTTTTTCAACTGGGTAAGCTGTAAAGGAGACAAGAAGATTGTAGCTAGAACAAAAGTTCATACAGCCTCAAAGAATGGTCTCTTAAATACTCTCTTACTCTTCTCCTTAGCTCCACATGAACTCTGATATTGTGACTTTCGCAGAAGTTTCTAAGGATCCTAAAGGGTTGGAGTGGCTCTGGAACCCTCAGATTGTAGGGGTGTACAACAGGCTGCTACAGCGATGTGAACTGAATAAGCATACCACGGAAGCAGCCTCTGGAGCGCTTCAGAATATCACAGCAGGAGACCGGCGGGTAAGGCTGACTCCAGAAATACCAGCCTGAATCCTCTGAAGATTTTAAAATAAAGCAATGCGTTTTAAAGAGAGGGGGAAGTTAAGATGTGAACTTGATGTTTTGTAGGAAATGTGAGTTAGATATGGAAGATGAACTCTGATAGTTTCCTTATGATGATTACATTCAAAGAGCAGTGTAGCAAAATGAAGTAGGCCTGCTCAAACAATGGAGCATATCTGTTGCCAAAGCTACCAACAACCTTTCCTCATTTTTTTCTTGTGCCCTGAAGGAAAAGGGCTCTGAGGTTTTTCCTGTGGTTCAGCCAATAATACTTATCGACACTACCAAAGCTCTAGAGTTTTTAAAGTAACATATAGAGAAGATATCTATGAAGAATGCTTGCTCTGCCTTCTTTGCAGCTGCTTGAACAGTGATTGCATTGAAAACTTGCCCATCTTGTTTCGGAGGGTGAGAAAAGAGGAAAACAAATAAAGTTGATTGCAGGAGGGAAAGGAGTGACAAGGCTTCCATTGTCTGCCTAAAGCCAGACATGATTAAGGCAGTTATCAATGGTCCAGAAAGCACTGGGAGTAAAGGAAAGGTGAAGAGTAAACTGAGTCATCTGTTGCAACAATCAGATATTTCTTGGTATAGATATATGAGTGTTTTATATTTTTGCTAGAGCACCTTATAGTAGAAGAATCAGTTGGATATTATTTCTCCACTGTGCCTGGAACATTAGTACTGACTCGGCAGGTAAATCATCATTTGCTAGCTCATTCTTCTTTTCATCCATTGTAGTGGGCAGGTGTCCTCAGTAGGGTGGCTTTGGAGCAAGAGAGGATCCTGAACCCTGTACTGGACAGAGTCCGCACAGCTGACCATCATCAGCTTCGCTCTCTGACAGGATTGATTCGCAACCTGTCCCGGAACGCACGCAACAAGGATGAAATGTGTGAGTTATTCCTATAGCAAAACACAGCAGGGCCTTGACAAAAGAGTTCCCTTCATGCAATTTAAATGCTTTACTTATATCATCCACAGTGAGATTTTAGACAAAGTACATTTTCTCTGTGTACTATTTGCTAACCACTTTTGTTTTGGATTGGCAGCAACCAAAGTGGTGAGTCATTTGATTGAGAAACTTCCTGGAAGCTCCGGAGATAAGTGGCCCCCAACAGAGGTAATAGTCAACATCATTGCAGTGCTGAACAACTTGGTGGTGGAGAGCCCCATTGCTGCACGTGACATTGTCTACTTCGATGGCCTACGCAAACTCTTCTACATCAAGAAGAAAAGGGACAGGTATGTGGGAATGGCCAGGAGTTTCCATCCATACTCCATACAGACTTCACCCTTAGAGCAGCATTTTACACTATTTAATTTCTGGATTCCACTGCAGCTTCAGAAAACTTCCTTATGCCCCTTGTTTCAGCATCATAAGAATGTGATGTTTACTACATTCACCTAATGTTCAGAAGTAGAATCAATTTGGTATGGGAGTTAAGGCATCGAGAGTTCTGGTCCCTCTTTAGATAGAAAATCAACTGGTGACCTTGGGCCAGTCATTCTCTCTCAGCCCTAGGAAGCAGGCAATGGGAAGCCTAAAAACTTTGATTTTGCAAAGAAAACTGCAGGGACTTGTCCAGGCAACCACCCAGAGTCAACACTCACTCGAAGGCACAGACACATAATCCTCAAAAGGTGCAGTCCCTTTCAAAAGCAAGAGGCAAGTTCCAGTGCATAAATCAAGGGCTGGAGGTAGGAAGGAAATGGGCAAGGAAGCAAGCCTGTCAGATCTCAAAGATTTTCAGTTGACTTTTATGAATTAGTCCATCTAAATGATTTATTTCCAAGACTTGAGAGTTTTTTTCCACCCTAATCTGACTTCTTTAGCTCCTTTGTTTCCTATTATGGCATTCAGACTGATCCATGCCATTTATCTCATGGATCTTACTTTAAGAGCCTGCTGGGTGAAAAGTCTGATATACTCATTTTGAAAATGCCCCTCTCCGAAGGGCTCTTGTTGAATGTGCACCAGCTGCCTACAGAAGACCAAAGTGCCTATGTAGACTGGCAATCCTAGAAGAAGAACGGTTGGCATTTCTGAGGTTTGTGCAGCTAATACCATTCAGTATTGCATTACAGGAACACAGGAAAGTTTGGCTGCCTCTGTCCCTCCTTCAGCCTCAAATCCTCTTAAAAGTAGCAGCAGTTTTCCTGGCTTTGCAAAAGTATAGATCTGTTCCTATAGGGATACTGCTGAATAAATCAAATTAAAAAATAAATAAATAAATAAATAAATAAATATTGGCGATCAAAGGGACATAATCCAGTAATAGGAGGATAAGAGTCCAACCACGGATCAATGTGAATATTTTGACTTAATGTCCATTAGTAATTAATGGAGAAGGAATCGGTGTGTATTTGAGTCCCAGTGTGCACCAGTAACATGTTACAGATTTCTCTTCTTTCTCTAGCTTGGAAAATGAGAAGGCTTCCAGAGCTGCTTCCAGTCTTTTGTCTAACATGTGGCAGTACAGCAAGCTTCATCGGGACTATAAAGCGGTTTGTGTTTTTTTCTCTCTCTCTATTCTCTCTTCCAAAGTGAGCTCATAGCACCTAGGTCTCTAGCATAGAACCCAGGGTTGAAATCCAGCAGGTTCTGACAGGTTCTGGAGAACCGGTAGCAGAAATTTTGAGCAGTTCGGAGAACTGGTAGCAAAAAATTTGAGTAGTTCGGAGAACAGGCAAATTCTGTGGCTGGCCCCAGAGTGGAGTGAGAATGGAGATTTTGCAATATCCTTCCCCCAGGAGTGGGAAGGGAATGGGGATTTTGCAGTATCCTTCCCCTGGAGTGGGGTGGGAATGGAGATTTTGCAGTATCCTTCCCCTGCCACGCCCACCAAGCCACGCCCACCAAGATAGAACCCATAGGTGAAACCCTTGGTATCTGTGGGGCTTAGATATGTTAGCATTTGTTGGATCATCACTGACCTGATGTGTGCTTCTGACAGTCTTTTTTTATGTTTTACAGAAGGGCTTTCGGAAAGAAGATTTCATTAGCCTGTAAAGAAGAGGACCTGCAGAAAATGGACTCTCCAGCCCTAATTGTTCTCCATGAATCTTGTTAATAAAGTACCACTAAGGACTGTGACCCTATGTCACGAAACCCCCTTTTGCAACCCCCTCCTTTTTAAAGAACCGGTGTCAGTTGGCTAATATGTTTTATTTTTTCCATTTAAAAGTCTATATAAAGCTCAGGTTTCTCTGCCTTGGCCATCTTACACCATGAAAGTATCCCATGATACTTTGACATTGACTGAAAATGCAAATCGATGTCCATGCAAATTCTGAAGCCTCCTATCAGCATTGCTAAATCCATGTCCTGACTTCCCATAGAGCTGGGATTCTTTTTAGAATGTATGGATGTTGATGTCACAGCAGAAATTCCAGGTTGCTAAGGATAGTGGAAAAGTTCTCCCAGGGATCATTGTATCAAGGGTACTTTTATTTGCTTCCATGTTTATTGCTTTCTTTTATTCCCTCCCCTCCCTCCCTGGAACTCCCCTAAAACTCTCACTGGTCAGTGTTTCTCAACCTTGGTAGCTTGAAGATGAGTGGACTTCAACTCCCAGAATCCCCCAGCCAGCGCTGCTGGCTGGGGGATTCTGGGAGTTGAAGTCCACCCATCTTCAAGCTTCCAAGGTTGAGAAACACTGGGTTATTGCATATATTTTTCCTACCTCTGTATATTCTGGAAATAATTTGCTTGCATTTAATTTCAAAAGGACTGGCTTATATGAGTTTGAGATATAGATTTTAACTGTATGTATAAACCTATTTGTAAGATTTTAGGAAAGTCTAATTATTGGGAACTGAGGAATAAATGTAGGCTTTTAAAGTTGTATTAACCAATGCACAAGAGGAAAGAGTGCTTTGGAGTATAAATTTATGGTGGTTTGGTGATGGATTTTCTCATTTTTATTTGAAAGCTATAATGAGTCTGAAGACATAATTTTCTGGAGCTACATATGGCATAATTTACTTCAGGTCTTGTGGGTTACAAAGCCTTTAAATGGGGAAAGAAATTATGGAAAGGAAGTGCTTGCTCTAAAGAGATACTTAAGCTGGGTATCAGTCTCCCTGTGATTTGTACAGAATTTTACTTTTATCTCTATTGGAATAGAATTGCCTTGGTGAAATTAAAGTGCCTGAGACTGTCCCACTGAACTGTTTTAGCAGCAATAAAGTCATAAACTTCAGATCAACATGTATTCGCAGTGCACTTTGTTGAACTAAAGAACATTTCTACACTACATTTATTAGCACTTTTAGTGTCCCATGGCATTGATCCTCATCCTGTTAAATAAAAGGTTATATTGAATACTCAGTTCTCGCCTGATCTGTGCTGACACTGATGGAAGAGGACATCGTAGCAACTAGATAAATAGTTTCAGTGGCCTGGCGAAGGTGATTTGGTGGGGAAGTCTGCCCTGGATGCAGTCAATAAAGTGCATTTTCTGGTGACTTAGGGATGCGGAACCTATATGGAGGGTTGGTGGTGAATGTAGAGTCAGGTTGCTGTTGCTGGTATGCTGATTGGCTGTTTGATGCTCAGTGATGTGGTGCAGGAATCCAGGTGTCAAATACTTCAGAAATGTCACTCTCTACCTTTGTGATTTCATACAATACTATAGTCTGGCATATGTAATGAAAGTGCTGACCTGCTTGGCCTTTTTTCTCCACAGAAATTGCAAAAATAAAAAATGGCACAAAGTTCTTAGGGAAGGCAGTTTTTGTCCCTCAATGAATATGTCAGCATATTTGAATTTACATTTTTCCTCTTATAAAACTTAATCCAATTATTTATTTGAAGCACAAAATGCCAGCGATAGTAAGGCTGACTGAAGGAGATAAGAGTCCTAGGGTAAGTATTACAATAGGCACTTATCAATAGGAAAGATGAAAATTAGATCTGTGCAGCAACTTGGATTGAAAGTGAAAAAGGTGATTTGGAGCACATATGTTGCACCAATTGGCAGTAAATCAAACATCTTTTCCTGGAGGTGCACATGAGCACCAGGAAGAAACACAGCTTTAAGGATTTCCTGACAAGAGAATCAGATGCCCATATGTGGTCCAAATTAAAATCCTGCCCAGCCTTAATGAAAACCACCAGAAATAAAAATGATATGCTTATTAGCAAACATTAGATCTATGATTAATTCATCTCTGAATATGACAAAATGAGAGCAAATATCTTCCTTATGACTGCAACAATCACAATATTGAAGAAAGGGAAATACACTACTAGGAGCCATGGTGGTGCAATGGTTAGAATGCAGTATTGCAGGCTAATTCTGCTGACTGTCAGCAGTTTAATTATTACCAGCTCAAGATTGACTCAGCCTTCCATCCTTCCAAGGTTGTAAAATGACCCAGATTGCTGGGGGAAATATGCTGACTCTGTAAACGGCTTAGAGAGGGCTGTAAAAGCACTGTGAAGCGGTATATAAGTCTAAGTGCTATTGCTATTACATGCTGGGAAGGCTCTGGATGTTTCTCCACACAAAACTTCATGATTCTTCATGTATCTGCTGTAAACTTTAGTGGGCTCACCTTAGCCTTCCGTAACACTGCCTGATAGATACCACTGCAAAATCAATGAACAGCAAGAAAAGCCTCTTTCCACAGTTGATGCATTCATCAAGCAGTTGTCATAATGCAAATATTTGGTCATGGCATCCACTTCCAAACCAGAAATTAGTCTGCAGTTCTTGGGCTATTTGTTTCCATCTTTTCTGAAGCGTTTGATAAATACCTTGACCGACAACAGACTAATCCCACATCAATTCTTGTACTCTTGATTGCCTTTCTTGAAAATGGAAATATTGCCTGTTTCCACAAATAAAGTATTTCCTCAGACTCTCAAATAATTCGAAGGAATAAATGGAGCTGATAAATTAGTGTATCACAAGCAGTGTTTATTGCTTCTGCAGTGACTTTATCTGTGTCACTAGCTTTCCCTCTTTTTAACTGATGGATGGTAGCTTCAGAGATTCTGGAGTTACATTATTCAATTGTTCCATCTGAGCTGTCAACGAGTTGGTGGCTACTGGAATGTCTCAGAACAGGGCAGTTGTAAAGGATCTGGAAGTACTGTATAAATGATTCAGTCATTCAATTCTGGAGCTCACAAATCTCTGTTTTTTCTGGCATCATTCATGTTGAAATTTACTGCTGAGGCAATAAGTGCAGAGGTTGTGTTGTTCTCAGCAATATATAAGTTCTTCAAGTTCTTTTGCAATACAATTCCAATAGACAGCCCATTTTGTTTTGAAGCAGATGTCAACTTGCTAATTAAGTGATCAATACAAAGTTAAATCTTATGAGTTTGCAGAGTTTTCATTCATCCAAAATCTATAGTTGGACTCAGTGTCTTCCAATGGGATAGATTTTGTTGGCATGTTTGTTAATTATTTCTGACAATTGTGCCTCAATCATTTTCATCATCCACATGAAAAATGGTGACAAAAATTAGGTGGAATTCTTGTTGGCAAATAAGTTCTTGTAACTTCACTCTTCCATAACAATTGGTGTGGCTACATTATGAGCAGTTTATATTAATCAAAATAATAGGACTGCAGTAGAAGGTGGTAGAAACAGAGTGGCTCTGGTTGACCAGATGTCCATGAGTGATATCTGGAAACAGCTGCTGATTTAGAAATACTTGAATACTGATGTATTGTTTCTACTGGGTGAAGGCCATTTTAACTGAGGTTTTAATTGGTGCTGATTGGATGTTTCCAATCATTAGCTCATTTACTTCTACAAATGATAAGAGGCACGGGCCATTGTCAATTATCTCTCCAATACCAAATTTGCCCAAGACATTTTCCCAGCCTTGCTAGTTGTTACCAACATGAGCATTAAAGTCACCAATGTTCAGGATTTATTACCTCTGTGCAATGAATCCACAGTTGTTTATAACTGGGTATAGAATAAATCTTTTGCCTCATTCCTCCTTCTGGGAAGCATAATTAAGCACATTCTCATTGTTCCTAAAAGTGACAGTTCTGCTAATTGACTCGAAGCTGATGAAGCTTGCAATACTTTCAGATGCTATGAAAATGAAGCCAATATGCTCTGGGTGTTTCTTGTCTCCACAGTAATACAAAAGACATCTCATTGCCACTGTCTTGTATTCCAGATCCAGTAAGATGCCATTCTGATAATGCCAGAATTGAAATTCCATACTGAAATAATTCATGAATGATCATTTCACTATGTCTGACCTAGGAACCAGCTTGAACATTCCAAGTGGCCAGTTTAAAATGGGTTGGGTTGGGGTTTTTTTTGACTTCCCAATTTTTGGCTTTATTTAGCTACTTTCATATTTTTTCATCAGCATTCTGATTTCCATTATGCCACACTATGGATCTATCAGGTAAAGCCTCCAATACAGTAGCATTTTTTTCAATGGGACATTTCTTTTTCACTCCCATAGTTCCCAATCTCTCCCCCTTCAATTGGACTGGGATCTGCCTGCAGCTGCCTGCAAGGCTAGCTATGTATTCTGCACATAGAACATTTTGTTCTCTAACTTTTTAGCTACCAAAGAAGGTGGGCATGGGTCATAGAAAAAACAGGTCTGTATACTGGATGCTATTCATCCCAAAGAAATGTGATAATTTTTGATAACTGATCTCTTGTTCTGTTAAATATTTGCTTCTTTAAGGTGACACATTCACTAAACGCCTAAGCTTCACCTGTGAAATGCCCATCAGGCAAGCATGCCAGAAGAAACCTCCTCCCACAGAGTCAGTCTAATGAATGAGCTTCTACAAGCAGACACATGTCCAGTGAGCAGGGGGAAAAGTCTATATGAGTAAAATAATTGTGAAGTCTTTCTCCCGGCAGGCAATGATGCTGAACAAATAAACTACCTACAGGAAAATCAATGACATTTGAATTATGTGGAGGTCAGGGGAGAGTAGACTGTTTACTATGTGATGCTTTAGTAATTGAATACTAGGAGGAGGCATGAATATCATCCTGGGAAAACATCTACTTTCCAGCTAGGACAGAGGTGCTTATGGTTGTATCTTTCTGGTACCAATGTGCTCAATTTCAGGCAGGATGCTCGAGACCAATGTTTGAAAATTGGACTGTTAATTACTCTCCCACTATCTTCTTCAAGAGATAAGATGTAATAATACAATCTGATCATTGTAATGATTAGAGCTTAACATGTTGAGCAGCTAGATAAAACTACTGCTAATTGGCTAACCTACTTTTACTGAGGCCATCTTTTTAAAGATCCGATCTCTTGCTTTTCCTAGCAGGCCTGCCAATTCTCCATAAGAGCAATGTGGGATATGTTGCCTTCACCATGAAATCGGTTGCTCAAATCTAAGCCTAGGAGAAGAGTCAACCATTGTGTAATCCTCGAGACATAGTTTCAGCCTTTTACGTATGGGATACAGCTACATGACACATTACCATGGCTGTGTTCAACCAAATCCTAACATCCCCTAAAGGGATGGGCAGGTTTGCATAATGTGTTATGATAATGTGGTTTATTTGATTTTGGTTTGGTAATCTGCTTTATGGTTTAAGATAAACATGGCTAATTTGGACTGCAGTTGTGATCTGAGCAAATAAGATGTCCTTGAATCAAAATCTAAAAACCGCAAAGGACAGTACTGTATCTTAATCTTTGTTGGAGGAAGGCCTTACCTCTTTCTCTGTGCTGTAGGAAAGCCTGAACCATCGTAGGAGAAGCATGTGGAAGGTTAAATCCAAGGGTATGAGAGATAATAGCTCTGGGTGGGTTTCAATAGATCCTTTGGACCACGGTTTCCCAATCTTAGCAACTTTAAGACACATGGACTTCAGCTCTTAGAATTCCCCAGGCAACAAGTGAATTCTGGGAGTTAATGTCTATGCATCTTAAAATTGCCAAGATTGGGAAATCCTGCTTTGAGCTGATTAACTCTGAAAGTGATCTGCTGTAGACGAGAGCCAAGGCTCTTGTAGCTTTAACAAAAGGATAGAGATAAGCCTTTTAATTGCACCCTTTTCTTCATGCCTGCAGGACAAATTGAATCTGCTAAAATTATTTCTCTTACAGCATGTAACCACAACTGATGCAAATAGGAAGTCTGCTTGCCTTCAAAACTCTTCCCTTCCCAGAGGCCTTTGCCTTCCTACCACCTGGCTAATTAGAGCAAAGTCTGCTCCCCACCTTGGACGTTTGCTAGCTACCCATCCCCAGCAGATTCATTTGTTACCAAGTAACATTAAAAAAATGGATCTGTCACTGGTATTACTTCCTTTTTATGTGATTGGTATTGTCGTTAACTTAATAAGTTGATTGTACAATTCCCCTGTTCCACAGCTCTCTAACAGAATTTCCAGCACTGCCACCCAGTTATCATGCCTAGAATTTTTTAAGGGAAACGTTGCTGTAATAAAACTGATAAGTACATAGTCCAGATTTGTCCACGTAGGCTAGGAAAAAATGTCATTCTTGACAGTGTCAAGGTCTATTTCATCTCATTCAGGTTTGGATAAACTAGGAAAATGCCTTAACTCTACAGTAGAACAGAACCAGCTCATGTTTTGCCAAGATACTTTGCAAAGCAAATATTTTCTTAAAACATTTATAGTTTTGCATTTTTGCCTAATTGCATCTGGTGTTACAACTCACTCGATAGTAGAGTGTATCTTGAAGCAAAGCCAGTCTGAGTCCAGCCTGTACAGCATTGGGTCAAAGTATACAATCTTATCACCAAAAGTTGAACGGCCTTTTAAGAAAACATTCTCCCTGCGTATAAATATTGAAGTAGTTAAAGAAGAATGCAGTAGGCAGGAATTACAGTACAAACAAGCACTGCCTACAGAAAGTTCAGTTTTTGAAACACAGCAGGTTGAAAAAACACTCTCAGTACTGATTGAAAGCAAAGGCGGCTCCTCCCTTTAGGAATGTGATAGGCTCCCCTCTTGTGCCACTCAACCCCAACTTGTGTTATTTCTGCTCTTGTGCAAGACTCAGACTTTAACCGATGAACCAGGATTTAGCATTAGCAGCCATTCTGGCACAGCCCCAGTCATAAACTGTCATCTGTGTTTACTGGAGAAGAAAAATGGCAACCTTGCAGCCATGAGGGCAGCATTTTTAGAAGAAAAAAAATATGTAGGTGATGCAACAACATCACTTGGCACAGAAAGAATTACACTTTGGGCTTTTATGGGAGGGTTTCAAGGGAGAGCATGTCTGTTAAACCAAAAAGCAATTAAGAATGGCGGAGTATTGAAATAAATGTACCGTGATGACACAGAATAGAAGAATGCGCACAAACAAAAAGAATAGGAAGGAACCTTACTATACATACATAGATCATCCTTAATTCCAGATCAGGTGTCTTGCCAATGTATGATGGATCAGCTGTTTCTAGTTCTTGCCCTTAACACTAGCAACAACACTGAACGAAAAATCTGTTCTAGATCTTCGTAAAACACAGGTGCAACCTGCATGCAATTGCATTGACAACAATTAAGTATAAGTATACACTACCAGGTTGTGGCCTATTTGCAACTGGGCCATGCGAGGAGTGGGCTGGTGTGTGCACAGGTGCAGCCTGATTCATATGAGCAGCAAGGACTGGGCACTTGCAGTCCTGCTTGCACAAGCAGCAGGCACCAATGCTTGCAGCCCCACTTGTGTGACCTGCAGGCATGCCCACCCCCTGCTCATGCTCATTAAGTGGCGTTCACACCTGCCCCTCGCACAAAACCATCCTCTCTTCCCCCCTCCATCCCCACACCAGGCCGCCAACCCAGAAATGTTGGGGAATGTGCATCAGACCTCTCCATTTGCATGAAATGTGTTGCTCAAAGTGCAATACATCATACTAAGGCTAAAACAGAATTACTGTTTTGTTGAACTTTTTGAGACTTTTTGCACGATTGTCTTTCATCTTTTCTAGGCATTGCCATTTAACTACCGGTATGCACACCTCATTCCAAATTATTTGTTTACTGTAATAGTTCTGGTCCCAATGTCAGAGATGTGTTGATTTATGCCATGATTAGAATGTTAAGTTTAGAGCCTTTGATGAAGATCAGTCAAAAGAATTCACCCACTTTCTTGGCATTATTCCTGTCACCATAAGTCACATAACAAACCAAATGCTTCTTGGTTGATTTCTTGCCTCACATATTTAAATAATTCTTTTCTGGATTTTCATTTTTAAAGCAATATATTAAAATACTTTATATTTTATTATGATTTATTAATATATTTAATAATTTGCTTTATTGTAAAATAGTACCAACTTTTGGACTGCTTTTGTTGTAGCAACTAATGCTAAGAGTTTGTCTAACCTGTTGTACACTGCATGAAAGTCCTCAGAATGAAAAAAAAACCATGCAGGTATTGCATGCAGTCAAGAAACCACTCTCTCGGTCAAAAACCGAATGTAATAATGTACCAAAAAATATGCAATTTTCAAGAATGTTATGGACACATTGTAACCTAATAAGAGTTCATGTATGTGCTGTTTGAACAATATTGCAGAATACTCTTCTTCATCCAGTGGTTTTATTTTTAAGAAATGGGACTTAGTACCATACCTTGGCTGTTATTTGATCAACAATTTTAATTGGCTTTGATATGGAGCAAAATAGGTGTTTCCAGTTCTTTCTTTCGGAAGTCTGTGCTCATGTTGCATTATCTTATGTTACATTCTACTGTATCCCTCAACCTCCACTAGATATCTCCAAACTTCCCCTTTGACTTCAGATTGAAGTTGAGATTGAAAGAGGAAGAGGAAGTCGAGATTGAAACCACAAACGTTTTCTAAATTTTGATATTTCTGAAGAAAAGTAATCACAAATGGATTCAGACAGAATTTCAGCCAGTTAAAGCAAGATAGAAGTGGGGCTTCAAACTTTGTTTGAACTTGCAGGCCATATGAAATGGACTAACACAAGATGATGTTAATATGCTTGATAATGATGTTCTTTACAAAAATGTATTGAAAATATATTGATGTACAAGAAACAGAGGCTCTCGTTTGCAATCTTTTTAACCCTTTCTCTCGAGATAGTTTTAAGAAATCCCCTTAGTTAAGTCTTGGAAGTCACCTCTATTCTTGCTTGGAAAAGCTGCCCAGTTCAGCTTTGCTTTCTTGATACTCATGAAAAAGATGGCTTCAGTTTTGATTCTGAGACCAACGCCTGGTAAGCCATCGATCACATCTGCCTATACTAAAAGGAAATGGGCTGCTGATAACTAAAATCACAACGCTTTATTTTCATTCCAATCTTTAAAGTAAAAATAGCTGCCTTTTGACTCAAAGGTGCTTTTTTCTTCAAAAAGCAACTGGACTGTTTTTTCCTAGAGGAAGAATAAGAAAACATTTCATTTCTCATCCAAGAAGCAAAATGTTTTCTTCTTCTTCCTCAAAGAAAAAAACAATCTAGTTGCCTTTTGAAGAAAAAAGAGGACATTTGAGACAACTATGACCTGGATGACTGAGAATCTCCACAGAGAGCTGCCTTTTGAATTGCAAAAACCAGTATTTAAGCAGAGTCTAAGATTAGCTTCTTGAAAAGTTCCTATGGTTCTTGGTTCCTTGATACATAGAAGTTTATCTGAAGAAAATAAAGTGCACTGGACAATCTTTTGGACAACCTTTTTCTAACAATGATTTTTTGTCATTACAGTGATCTAAAAACAAAGAAACAAGCACCATCACTGTAATACTATTGCATGATTAACTCTGCTGCTCTCTAAATTAACTTTTTCTTGAGTTTAATTTGGATGAAACTTGAGGGGCAATTTCAATATGTCTCTAACTGCTGCTTAGAAGAGTTAGTCCTAATTTCTGGACTTTCGGATTTGGGGAACTTGAGCAGCTATTCATGATCTTAAGTCTATTCCAATGTGCTTGAATTCCTGATACTTTGTAAGACATTGGTTTTACACATTTTGATATACTTACCCATCTTCTGACTTCAAATTCGTTTTGTTTTGGGTTTTTTTGTCTCTTTCTCAGCCCCATTTCTGCATTCCTTCTCCATTTCCCATGGAAGTGCCCTTTCCCCTACCAATAGGCATTTAAGATATTTTTCCCTTTTTTCTTTCAAGTTACTTATTATTGAAACTAACTTGGATACTCTATTATACATATTTTTCCCTTGGAAAAAAGGAAGTCTACCAATGCAATTGAGCAAGAGATTTCTGGATTCACATGTATTGAAATATTTCAGGCTGTCTTAGAAGATCTCAACAAACATAATGGTTTTTTTTGCAATCAAACTGCATCTTCATAACCACACTGCCATCCCCTCTCTTTCCCCTTGCTTCATCCCAATTTAAATCCTACATCACTTTAGTCACTGCATGCATCTGATGTGACCTGTAGTTTCTGAAAGATTACAGAATGCATTCATACAGTGTGTTCATCTGAAAGGCTGGTATAGACACCTGAGTTTTGGCTACCAAAAAGTAAGAATGCTTGAGAAGATTAATAACATCAATCTAGCATCCTCTAGATGTGTTTCAACCACGTGAAAAATTCTTAATGAAGAATGCCATCACATACTTAGATAGCATTATATAAAGAATAAATAGCAATTGTATTCTATCAGCTGGGGAAAAAAATCAATGCAAGTCTGCATCCCTTGGTGCTAACATATACTAAGGTGCATTTTCAAATTTACATGGAAATAAGTACAAGTGAGTGCTTTGTTATTTTCTTCCAAAGAAAAGAAAAGCTCTTTTTCATATAGAAACCTGCCATTCTTTTCATTTTTCTAGCAAGAAGGAGACTCAGATCTCCTTAGTGTTTATATTTCCCTTTATAATTCCAATTACAGTAATAACATTTAGCTATTAACGTTCACTTCTCACATATCAACACCTGCCTGGAGATGTTAGCAGTAACTGAAAAGCTTGCCAAGCCTGTTGCTTATGTAAGTCCCAACATTGTAATCTGATGCAAGATAATCATCTAAAATTGAATGGCACTATTGTGTATAAGATAACCAGATGTTCTCCAAAATCTTGCATTCCCCCAATGGTGATTGCTTATAGAATCATGTAGGAGGTTCAGAGGCCATTTTATACAATTGCCCTGTTTAATTGAGTGCCCAACAGAAGGATGCCAAGCCTCTGCTGTTTTATTTCTATCTCCTGAAGTCTTGGCTACTCATAGTTTTGTGTCATCTGAACATTTCTTTCACTGCTATCCTTTATCTAAACTAGGGAAAGACATGTTGAATAGTATTAAGAGCAGGTCAGAGTTCTGTACTTCTTCATGGACAGTTCTGTATTAAAGAGATTAATCAAACATATTGTCCTTGCCAAGGAATACCATGCTTATAAAAAAATTATCATTTCCATTGGAATATCTTAGCAAGCCTTATATATCATCTGTCACTAGGCAGTAAAAGTCTGTCCTTGCATCATAGTTGCGAGATCCCAGGTCAGAAATGTCTATCTCATTCTTCTGATTTTCCTCAAGCCGTACCTCTTCCATTGTTCCGAAACATGGACCATCAGGATCAATCTTAACAGGTGGTGGTAGACCTTTGATAATTGGTCTCCGGATTACTGTAGGACAGAAAAGAAGTGATAATGGGATAATGTTTCCAAATGTTCAACCATGACTAGTTACTTTGAAGTAACAGAGCACATTATAATTCCTACAAAATTATTCAGAGTGAAGCTATTTCTAATACCGAACCCATTCAATACCATTTTAAGTAGCTTATTTTCCAGCAAATTATACATTGTTCTGGATCTAATATTTCTGCAAAATGCTATTAAGTCAGCCTAATAATTAAATTACATGAAATCCAAGAAATCTATGACTGGGAGGAAATTCTACTGGAGGAAATGAATTAAAATTATTTGTGACCAATACTGCAATCAAAGCTTGAACCCTGTGAGAGAACCCCAATTATAGACTTCTAAGATTTAATTCAGATTCAACCCAATAAAAATTTATCTTGTGCAAAATAATAGCACTTAGGACTTATATACTACTCCATAGTGCTTTAGAACATTCCCTGAGCGGTTTACAAATGTCAGCATATTGCCCCCAACAATTTACCAATCACAGAAGGATGAAAGGCTGAGTCAACCTTGAGCAGTCAGGATCGAACTCCTGGCAGTGGGCAGAGTTTTCCCACAATACTGTATTCTAACCACTGTGCCACCAGTGCACTTAAATATATATATATATAAAAACGAAATATTTATTCTTAACTTTGATTAAACATTTATTCATCTACTTTTTACACAAAGAACATCACATTAGATGGTGCTCTGAATCAATTAACAGAGTTAGGAACAATTTGAATGGCTCTTAGCCTTCATGCTCCAATAACAACAAGATACTACATTGCTCTCTCTCCTTTCCCAAAGCCATTTTGATTCCTCTTGTTTAAATTGCTCGTCTTCATATATATTTGCAGATTTTGCAAGAATATACTGTTCAAGAGAAAACTAGAAGTTTATACCTGGGTAAAAGTGCAAATATAATTCAGCCTGTTCTTCTATTTCTTTCCCTTTCCTTAATTTCTAAACATTGTCTGACTCAACAACAAGAGAAGCACACAGATTTGATGTTTCCAGTCTTTGACTTTGACTTTTGACTTTTATTAGATTTCTATACCGCCCTTCTCCCGAAGGACTCAGGATGGTGTACAGCCATACTAAAACACATATAATTTACAAAATTTAAAAAACCATTAAAATCGGATATACAAAAATTTGGCCCACAAATTAAAACTGACATACACCCATTTAAAATTCACATTCATGTTAGGCCAGCCCGGCTTGTTGAAATAAAAGGGTCTTCAGGGCACGGCGAAAGGTGCGCAGGTCAGGGATCATATGTACATCTAGGGGCAGCTCATTCCAGAGGGCTGGTGCCCCCACAGAGAAGGCTCTCCCCCTGGGTGTCGCCAGTCGACATTGTTTGGCCGATGGCACCCTGAGGAGCCCCTCTGTGGAAGCGAGTTGGCCGGTGGGAGGCTGTCGATGGCAGAAGGCGGTCTCATAAATACCCCGTTGCTAAGCCATGGAGCGCTTTGAAGGTGGTAACCAACACCTTGAATCGCACCCGGAAGACCACTGGAAGCCAGTGCAGCTCGCGCAGGAGAGGTGTCACATGAGTGCGACAAGTCGCCCCCATAATCACCCGCGCGGCCGCATTCTGGACCAGTTGGAACCTCCGAGTGCTCTTCAAGGGGAGCCCCATGTAGAGAGCATTGCAGTAGTCCAGACGGGATGTGACGAGGGCATGAGTGACCATGCGCAGGGCATCCCGGTCCAGAAAGGGACACAACTGGCGCATCAGGCGAACCTGGTAAAAAGCTCCCCTGGCCATGGCCGTCATACGCTCTTCCAAAGACAGCCGTGCATCCAGGAGAACACCCAAGTTGCGAGCCCTTTCTGAGGGGGCCAAGATCTCGCCCCCAATAATCAGCGATGGCGCCAGCTGACTATACTGGGACTCCGGGAACCACAGCCACTCAGTCTTGGAAGGGTTGAGTCTGAGCCTGTTCCTCCCCATCCAGATCCGTACAGCCTCCAGGCACCGGGACATCACGTCAAGGGCATCATTGGGATGGTCCGGGGTAGAGACATACAGCTGAGTGTCGTCAGCGTATTGATGGAATCTCACCCTGAAACCACGGATGATCTCGCCCAGCGGCTTCACATAAATGTTGATCAGAAGGGGCGAGAGGACCTACCCTTGCGGCACCCCACAAACAAGGCACTTCGAGGTCAACCTCTGTCTCCTTGCCAACACAAACTGTGTACGGTCGGAGAGGAAGGAGGAGAACCACTGCCCCCCACTCCCAACCCCTCCAATCGTCGCAGCAGGATACCATGGTCAATGGTATCAAAAGCCGCTGAGAGGTCTAATAGGACCAGGACGGAGGAACAACCCCTGTCCCGAGCCCTCCAGAGATTCTGCCTTCAGAAATTCAGAGATTTTTTTCCTTGAGACCTAATTTTTATTTAATTATGTCAGATACATAAATCCATTGTGATCCTAATGCCATTCCATAATTACTTCATTTTGTACACAAATATGACTCATCATGTTTGACAATTGTATGAGTCATACAACTCTTTCCACTGCAGAATTCTTCTTCAGCAAGAATTGCTCAGTAATATTAGGAGCATTGATGGCTAGCATTCGGCAGGTGACATGCCAAAAGCAAGACATTCTGTGGACACTTGCCCTGAAGTACAGACAGGTTCATTATCTTTTCTTATTAATGATTTGTTGGTTGTATTATTATCAGACCACATTGCCAAGCAATCTTTGGATATAAAAGATAGACAAATTATCTTGATTATATTTTGCATGCATTTTACAAAGGTTGGCTGCAATCAGGACTTATTATTTCTTTCTGTATTTGTATTTGTATTTCCTTTTTCATTTCTGATGCTATGGTTGGGGAAAAGACAAGAGAATCCAAATTACAATTCCTAAGAGATAATTCTCATGCAAGTTAGAGAGTAAGAAGACTTGAGCATCCAAAGATGCTGTTGTACAAATGAGAGCTTCCAATAAGCTTCAGACCAGTACTGTGACGTGAACAATCCTCATTCATTATAGTGAATTTGCAAAATAAGACAACCACTGCTGTCACAATTACAAGGGAAGCCCAGCCAAGCTCCTGAACTGCTTTTATTTTTTCCAACAATTAAAATCAGAGAGTGTAAGTGAACTTGATTTTGTGCTGCCAGATGCTGGTAAATCTTTTATGAACACTAAACTTATTTTGCTCCTGTTGCTAAAATTAAAATGTATTGCCCTGCAAGCACAGCCTGTATTAGCAAATCCCCTAGGCTTGGTTCATTAAATCTTCTGGATTTAATGAATGCGCACAGAGGTATTTTCCTACCATTGATCTAATGTGAACCCCAAGGCCTAAATGCCTAAAAAAGGAATAATATGAAGTAGCTACAATATCTCCAGGCTTCAGGCTCTTCAGAATAGAAGCAGAGGTATTCAATGGCTACTTTGCCACAATGGCAGGGATGTGTTCCAACAAGCAACTGTGAAGAACAGATTAAAATGGCAGTGTTGCAGGTTGATGGAAACCCAGAGAACTTCTATGTTACCTTGAATGAGTTTAAATCTCCAGAGCCAGATAGATCACATCTAGGGTACTCAAGGAGTCAGGTGATAATCTGGCCAAAGCATTATAAATTATATTTGAAAAATCCTTAAGAGGGATCAAATGTCAGATGATTGACAGAGAACAACTATTGTTCTTCTCCCCACCCCACCCCACCCAAAAAAAGGGGGGAAGAAGGATCCAGGAACTATAGATCCCTCAACCTGACATCAATATTTGGACAAACCCTAGAGAAGATCATAAGAGCAATCCCTAAGTACCTTGAAAACACTGAAATAATTACCAGTTGACAGCGCATATTTCCCAGAAACAAAAAGAACTAATTTTATCATATTTTCTTTCAAATTGGATAGGCTGCTGAGTAGAATGTGGGAAAGTTGTAGAGGAATATGTCTAGATTTCAACAAAACATCCAACAAAATGCCATGTGACCTGAGTAGTAAGTTAGTGAAGTAAAAACTGAATGGCATAAGAATAAGTGGAGGCATAGCTGTCTCAGAAATTGCAATCGAAGACTGTTCATCAAGCTTGAGAGTCCTTAAGGATAAGAGTCCTTACTGACTGGAGCGAGAGATCAAGATGGGTACCATAAAATTCGGCCTAAGATCCTTTATAGTACAATATTTCTGTTAATGACTTGGATCAAGAAGTGGCAGGAATGTTTATCAAATTTGCATATGAGAGAAAATTAGTTAAGACAGCAAGATGGCTGATATAACATTGCAAAGTATCTGGACGTGTTAAAGGAGTGAGCTGAATATAACCAAATGAAAGATGCATATGCAAAGTTCTTGATTTAGATGGTAGAAACCAAGGATACAAATATGTGATGGGATACCTTGCTTAACAATAGTACCTTTGAAAAAGGAATTAAAACACAAAGCAATTTTAAACTGCATGAGTCAGTCACATGTTGTGGCTGGGAAAATAGTAAATGCAATTTTAGTTATAACAACAGAAGCAGAGTTTCCAAATCAGGAGACATATAGTATATAAAGAGTGTCTCCTAGACTGCTCTTAGTTTTTGTTCAAATCGTGTGAAGTAATTCTTCTATATTTTATCCTGCTTTGGTCAGATTCCACCTCAAGTAAACTACTGCTGTGGACACCTTCTGGTTTTAAGAAGGGGTAAAAACAAATTGGACACGGTATAGAGAAGGGCAGTTAGGATGATCAAGAAAATTTAAATTGAACAGAAGGAAGTCAATATTTATCTTTCAGAGAAGAACCGCGGTGAAGAGGATATGAGGACAGCCTTCAAATGCCTAAAGAATATAAAAAGAAGAGAATATTAGTAGCTCAGGGTGAACTGTGGGGTCCTTGGTGCTCTCTGAGCTTGGCTGTTTTCTTGCAGACGTTTCATTATCAAAGCAGGTAACATCATCAATTCTACAAGGGAGTGGGGTTTGGTCCAGTGGTGGGATTCTGCCAGTTCTAGGCGGTTCTGCCGAACCCTTTGTTAAATTGCTGGCTCACCCCACCCCTTGCCCCGCCCCTTCACACCACTATTTATTGCCAATAAATAGTGGTGGGTGAGGGGCAGGCGAGCCACCAATTTAACAAACGGTTCGGAGTTTTTTTGTAATTTTATTGGCCCGCGGAGTTTCAGCATAGGCTAATTAGCCCGTTGATTAGATGGCCTCCCAACTCTCAGCTGATTTGCTCTCAGCTGTTTTGCTCAGGGCTCTGCTGCTTGCTTGCTTGCTGGAGCAGATTTTTTCCCCTAGCTATGCTGAAAAACGAAACTGAAAGTAAAGCAGGTTGTTGGCTTTGCTGTTGCTGCAACTTTGGAAAATTAGGCAGATTTCTTTTCTTTTTCCTCACCAAAAAAGGTAGGTGCAAACTACCTTTTGTGAAAAGGTAGTTTTCCCTAAAGAGATAGTTCCTCTTTAGGGAAAAAGAGGAGAGTTCAAGATTTTAAAACACAAAAGAAAAAAAGCTCTATTTAACTAGGGAATTGTAATAATTGAGATACTATTAATTGTATATTGTGTTGAAAGCAGAAATGGTTAAATTGTGGTTTGGAGGAATATATGGGGGAAATTATTTGGTTTATTATTATTGGTAAATAATTGATTTGTAAGAAACTGGATTGCATGGAAATAACTGGAATATTCATGTTCAGATTGATTAATATACAAAAAAGATAGTTATATAACTAATTGATTTATATTAAAATGTTGAATTTATATTAAACAACTGTAATATTACATAATTAGCCAACGTGAGGATGGATATAAAAATAGATGACAATGGGAAGGAGTATAATATAGAATAGGAGGGAAAAATAGAATTTGATTAAGATTAGAGATGAGGATGAAGGGTAATATTGGTTTTTTTAAAAAATAGCTAAGGAATAAATATGGCAAAAAGGAAATATAGAAATTGTAAATTTAATTGAAACAACTAAACACTGTTTAAATTTGTGAACCGGCCAAATACTCTGTTCAAAGAAAATAAATTGTATGTTTGTATGTGTGTTTCTAATTATTGCTATTTATTCATATTTGTTCTCTTTTATTCTTTAAAGTTTAACAATTCATTCTTTATCTTAATATCTTAATATTTGTTTGGGGTTGCCTTTCTTCCTTTTCATCTTTTTTACTGTACAGCAATCTTTCTCCTCAAATCTACCACCTCTCTTTTTTCTTTTCTTCTTACTTTCTTCCCCCCCCCGCTTCTTCTCCTCCCTACTTCCTCTTCCTTTCTCCTTCTCCTCCTCTCTTCCTCCCTCTCTTACCCTCACTCCTACTCTAATTTCCCTTCCCTTCCTTCCTCCCTTCTCTTCCTTCCCTCTCTCTCCTTCCTTCTTCCATCTCTCTTCTCCTTCCTTCATCCCTCTCTATTGCTGTATCCTTTTGTGCATATGGATTACTCAGAGGGCTGAAAAAGTTATTTTTGACCGGTCCTCGCATTTTTGACCGGTCCTCAAACTTACGACTGTCCTCACATTTTACGTTTTGCGCCCTATCTTGTCACCGTGGTGAAGAGAAGTAGTGGTGAAATGACTGACACAGTTGTTAAAAATGCTGCAACAGGCATAAATGTGAGGAAGGTCATAAGTGCGAGGACCGGTCAAAAATGTGAGGACCAGTCAGAAATGACTTTTTTCAGCCCTCTGAATAGTCCATATGTGCATATGGATTAGTCAGAAGGCTGGAAAAGTTATTTTTGACCGGTCCTCGCACTTTTGACCAGTCCTCGAACTTACGACTGTCCTCACATTTTACGTTTTGCACCCTATCTTGTCACCGTGGTGAAGAGAAATAGTGGTGAAATAACTGACATGATTGTTAAGAATGCCGCAACAGGCATAAATGTGAGGATGGTCATAAGTGCGAGGACCAGTCAGAAAGGACTTTTTTCAGCCCTCTGAGTAGTCCCTATGCACATAGCCACGCCCACCCGGTCACATGACCAGCTAGCCACGCCCACCCGGTCACATGACCACCAAGCCACACCCCCAACTAAGCCATGCCCACAGAACCAGTTGTTAAAAAAATTGAATTCCACCACTGGTTTGGTCTCATTTTATATACAAGTGGCTTGCCCTGTCACTGGGCTGTCTTAACACTTGGGCCTGATGGGCCTCATACTAATGTATGTTAACCCTTCAATGCACCTTGTATCATATAAATATAGCAACATATCTATTACATTTTACTGCATTTTATTAATACTAACATGCATTAATAGAAATTAACACTGATTTTTTTCCGTAGATGATGAGACGAGCCTGCATGTTTTTAATGTTTAAACATCAATTTTATTGGAAGTGCCAATAAAATAAATATATGTTTAATTTTATAGACCATTTACATTTTTATTCCTGTGAGTAGTTGTCGTAGGGGCCCCAGTACACTACTTTGCCCGGGGCCCATAACGCTATTAAGACGGGCCTGCCTGTCGATGTTGGTGCAAATAGTTTTGGTGGTTCCTTAAGTTGTTGTTTGTCTGAGCTGCTGGTTCCTTGATTGGGGTATTGTTTAACTTCTGGATTGTTGGTCTAATGTTAATCTTGGTATTAATCTCTGCCCCTCTGGGTGTTGACTGCTGGTGCAATGTTTTGGTCTTTTTATTTCCTGCTAATTGGTATTCATAGATGAGCTCTGATAATCTTCTGTGTGTTTGTCCTCGATAGTGGCCATTATAGTCCTTACATTGTATGTTGAAGATGCCGCCTGTTTCTATTCTGTGGCTGCTGAACCTTTTGGTTTACTTAGGATATTTTGGAAGTCTTTAGTAGGTTTGTGTGCTATGGTGATGCCATGTGGTTGTTATAGTTTGTTGGTGGTTTCTGATATGTTTTTGATACATACAGTAAAGAATGTTATGCAGAAGAATATATATCAGTAAGAGTAGCTGAATACTGGGGCCAATTATCCAGAGAGATTCAACTTCATTGCATCTGTTTGACTGAAGCTACACAGAAATCAGTTAGGCATGCTTTAATTTGGATTCCTGCACTAAGAAGGTCTTGATGGTCTAAATATCCCCTTCCAATTCTGATTCATGCTTTTTATTGCTTTCTTTTTTCAGTTTTGATATATTGGCATATATATGACACAGGAAGTGAGAATGTTACTTAATGAAAAGATTATATGCCACCCTCCCATATTGCTACATTAAAATAAATTTATCACAATAATTAAAATGCAATCTCCATCTATCTACGGTATATACCACCCCACAATTTATGGTTGCTGCAAATTGTTTTATGGAAACTCCTGTCTTGCTTGCTGATCAGTATTTAATATGAATTTATAAAACACGTATGGATTAATTAGCATGCAGTAAACTGTGCCACACAGTATGCTAAGGAGGTTCACTGGCTGTAATACTTTTTGACTTTTACACAGACTGAGGCCAGAGGTGCTTGGGCAAAGCAGGGCTGGTTAAACTGATGCCACCATACATCAGCCACCATTAGGTCATTTGGAAGTCACAGAAACAGCAAACAATGGCACTGAGGGGGGTAATCAATCAAAACATATTAAAATATTAGGCGAACATGTCCTAATATAAATATCATGAAAGTTAAGCTACTTTAATTAGGGTGATTTAAATCTAACTGTGCAAGCCTGGACTGGAAGAAGAGAATTTCTGAGTTAAAATTCTCAAGGGATACATACTTTCTCACTTGTCTCCACTGTACTTTGTATCTCGACTGTAACTTGTGACTAATTTTATCTTTTGTGAATGAATGAAAAAAAATCTGTTTATTAGGAACAAAATGGAAACAAGTGTACACGGCACCGACAGGAATCACTTTCAACTTTTTGCAGCCCTTTGCAAAAAGCCCCATTGGCTCCCTTAGACATTCATGATCTTGAACATGCATGTCTTTTTCCGAGCACGAGAACTTACCCCAAAGTAAGTGCAGTCAAGGGCATACAGCTACTTTTTAGCAATGTGCAAAAACAAAAGGCTAGTATCAGACAAGCCAAGGAAGCTTCTTTAGCTAAGAAGCCAAAAGGTGTACCTACCCATTTAGAAGAAGAAACCTGGCTGGCTTCACTCATTTAGTTCATACCATTTCTTTGCAAACTGCTCTCCCCACATATGAGTCTTCAGTTCCTAAAGCTATCTCACTCTTTCTGCCATTTCCAGTCAAGAAATTACATCTCTGCTTAGTATAAACCAGGGGTCTCCAACCTTGGCAACTTTAAGACTTGTGGACTTCAACTCCCAGCTTTGCTGGCTGAGGAATTTTGGGAGTTGAAGTCTACAAGTCTTAAAGTTGCCAGAGTTGGAGATCCCTGGTATAAACAGTTGACTAAGTGAATGAGGATCTGTCTTTTCCATAGACAGTGTCGCTTATATGGCAATCTGCTCAAAATGATGGGTTTAGCCAGACTGCTGAACTCATTTAGGTCTCTAAAACCTTATGTCTTGACCTATTAATGCTATTGTTTATGGTTGCCTTTTGATACTTTGGCAATTCCATTTCTTTCTTTCTTTCAAGCATTGGCTCCAATTGTCAAGTCTTTTCATGGAATAATTAAAAAAGAAAAAAAAGTAAATCCCCAGCAGAATCGGTACAATTAACATCAATTATGTCACATTGATATTTGTGCTAGAGAACTGTGCCCCAGAAAGGTTTGCTTCAGAGCCATTCTGTTATGAAACAGCAACAGAGTTAATATGATATTGTGTTATTACCAATGTCTCCTTCGGGGTGAGAGTCCCCCTGGAATTCTGGATAGTTGCTATGGAGAATCAGCATCGGATCCTTGTCTTCCTGGAGATAGGTTTGAGGATCCCCCCTGAGGCCTTGATAAGATACTTTCCGTGGCAAGGAGAGGCACAGCTCCTTCCAGAAATCCGATGCAATTGCCTAGAAGCAGGGGATACGGGGGGGAAAAAAACACCCAGATTTGTCATATGCTCACCCTCATAAGTAGTCTTTTCAACAATATATCACAAAACCCTGACTAGAAACTGTGCCTGGCTTCCAAAGAACTGAACAAGGGAGATAAAAAGCCTGTTACTGGGAATAGTTCTCTTGAGCAATATCTACATTCAGCTTTGTTTCATCTCTGAGATGAAACATCCTGCAAAACCAGAGAAGAGTGGTGTTAGCAGCCAAACCTACTTTCTCTTTAACCTACGATTTTAGTACAATTGTATATTCTATATATGTGTGTATGTGCTTTAAACCAGTTTTTCCTTCATCGTTGCAAAGAAAAAGCAGAAGAATATGTGGATATATCAAGGGGTGTCTCAAGTAGGTAGATCAAGCAGACAGCAGCTTTGCAAAAACTCCTTTTCCTACCCTGTTATTTCTGGACAATCTGACTTTCTTGCGATGAATACGATGATTTACACAAATCCATCATCCCATTGTCTGCAATATATATATAATAAAATTTTATGCAACGAGTGACTTTATGCGATTGTATAAGATTACAATAGTGGTTTGGGTAACATTGATTCCAGTTGTGGAGGAGGAAGTGAAATTGAAATACTGTGATGTGTATACTGTACATATCACTTCTCAGTCAACTGGCAAAACTAATAGAGGCTCTTGCCAACTTTACTATATTTTCAGACACAAGGAGGCATCAGACACCTTCCTGGATGTGGTCCTTCCTTCGTCTTCTTCATTATGTACTTCAGTATCACTGACTTACTGCTGCTCCTTTCCTTGAAAAGGAGTGGGGTGAGTTGAGACACAAAGAAAAACATTGCTTATAGCTGTCATTGGCTGAGGCAAAATGAAACTACATAAATAATGAGCAGCCACACTGTGCAAACTTATAGGACAAATGTACACATACATGGGAGACATGACAATATTGCAGCGTCTCAGGTTACGGAAAGCTTTTCCTGTATGAATGTCCCATATATTTCTAGAGTTCTCGTTCTAAACAAGGCAGAGGTGGTGCCAGATTCTCCATCTCCCCTGCTCTTTCCATCTCTTGTCCCTGTGCAGGGTATTATTTTGCATTATATTCAGCCAGATGCTTTCATCTCTTACTCATCAATAATGTCTGCCTCACTTTGGGAAAGGTAAGATGATCCCACCTATTCAAGATATTTAGGGGAAAATATCTTTCTTCAGTCCATGCATGCATGGTACTTTTAGGATGAAAAATCACATTACTGATCTAGAAAATGTTTTTAGATTATCTAATGAAGGTTAAGAACACAACAGCCTTTTCTGGGCATGACAAAGCATCCATCTTTCAAAAATCTGGGAATAAACAATTGCATAATACATTTGTTCACTGAATATTAGCAGCACTTCTATATCTCAAAGATGTCACTGTACTACGTGATAGTTTATAATATGGTTAGCAGCAAGGATTTCAGCTGTCTGATAATTTATGCTGAAGACATTAAGGAAGAACATAAGCAATGATATTAACAGGCTGCATAACTTTGTGTGCACACACATCCCACCAAAGTCTTGCTGTGCTGCTTCATCATGGGGAGTGGGGAGTATTGTTCCTGGGGAGGATAAGTGAAAATGTTGAAAGTATATGCCAAGAATATATATTCCTAGCAGTGTCATCCAAGGCATGAAGGTCATCTCAACTGCCAAACAAAAGCAAGCAGGGACTATATTGGGCAGCAGCAATATAGGAAGATGCTGGAGGCAGAAGATCACTTTAGTGACAATGGCAAAAGGCATCAATTCATATAGCACAGGAGATACAGGTAGTCCTCAGGTTATAATGGCAACTGGAACTGAAATTTCCATTGCTAAGTGATATAGTCATAAAGCATGAATGTTAAGTGACCACAATGCTTAGCAACGACAATCCAGTTGCTGTCCTAACCCCAGAAGCATGTGGGTTGTTAAGCAAAAGGAGACAGGGGTTCCAGGCAAGAAGTAGGGGTGTGTGTTAAGGGTGCCATAAGCCCACAATAGGGATGCAAGCAGGCCAGCAAGAGCAATTGGTGGGCCAGTGAGGGCAATAGGTTGTTGCTAATGAGTGTAGACAGATGGAGGGGGTGCTGTAGACAGAAGCATGTTTCTGTAAGTGGGGGTGTGCTCCTAAGAGCCATTGTTGCGCTTTTGAGGAGAAAAAGTAACCATATGATTATGGGACATTGCAGCCATTATAAGTGCCAGCTGGTTGCCAAACACCCAAATTGTGATCACATGGCTGCAGGGATGCTGCAAAAGTCAGAATTTTAAGGACTGTCATAAGTACCACTCATTTGGCACCTTCACAACATTGTATTGTCACTGAATGAGTGGTTGTAATCTTAGAACTACTTATAATAAACCACTCCTATTTTTTTTTCAAGAAAGCCACATGGATAGAAAATATAAAACGATTGACAATATAGTGCTGGCTGATGGGCCTCTTAGGTCAGGTGACACTCAACATGCTACTTAAGGAAACATTGGATGGTTTTTTTTTGGTGTAGTAATGATGTTACATGATTAGATTAAGCCTCAAATGTAATTGCTAATGTTGAAACACGGGGAAAACATCCAAAGCTGCAAAGGCAAAATTACAGTGAGAACATGGAATGTGAGAAACATGGGAAAGCTCAAACACAGTGAAAGATGAAAAAATTACAAAATGACACCTTAGATATCAGCAAATTGAGATTGCTGATTGGGATTGGACACTTTCAGATAGAAAAAATCACACTGCTTATTAGGAGATTAAAAAAGGAAGGAATGACATTGCTTTTATAATCAGGAAACATATAGCACAAACAGTGCCTGGCTACAAGGCAATCAATGGCCAAATAATACCAATTTAGCTTCATGAACACTCTTTTAATATAACAATCATCCAAGTTGATGCTTCAAGCACTGATACAGAAAAAGAGGAGGTTGATGAGTTTTAGATCAAGTTCAATTTAAAATTGTCAGAACATGCAAGCAAACTTGTGATTAGAGACTGTAATGCCAAAATTGGAAACATTACAAAGAAAAAATGTAGTTGGAATGTATACCTTAGGAAACCAAAATGAAGCCAGAATCCAATTTATCAATGTCAGTGATGCCAATGATTTCTTCATAGCTAACACTGCCTTCAAATAACTCAAATAATGCCTACATAAATGGACATCACCAACGGATGTGCATAAAATCAAATTGACTATATTATTACTAAAATAAGATGGAAGAGCTAAATTATAGAATCAAAGTTATGGCCATATGGCTGTGGAACAGATCACAAACTGGTCATGTGCAAGTTCCAAGTTAAGCTAAAGAAGAAGAAAGCTAGCCAGTTTTCACAGTATGTTCTTGAACATGTACCAACCATTTTCAAGGAAAAGATCAGAAATCACTTTGAAATCCTGAACCTCATTGATAGAGAACCAGAAGAACTATGGAAGGAACTCAAACAGGTTGTTAAGGATGAGTGTGAAAAGAAACAGCCAAAGATGAAACAGAAAAAAGCAAACTGGATGCCAGAACAAACCAGGAAAATGTCAGGAAGAAAAGAGAAGCCAAAACCAAGAAAGACAAAAATATCAGAAAGGAACGCAATAGTTTCAGAGAGATTTTAGAAGAGACAAGAAAAAGCATTGCAATAATAAGTAAAACCACCAGTCTTACAATTGACAATGGAGATACTGAAGTGGTAGATTTCTTTTCAGAATCAACCATTAACAGTAAGGGAACAATCTTTCAAGAAATACACTTCATAGAGCAGCCATGAAGGCCTTGGAAAAGATACTCAAATGCTGTGATGTGCCTATACTTACAAAGATCAGAATTGTGTAAACTATGGCATGCTCTGGAACCCTCTATGGAAACAAAAGTTGGGTTTAAAGGAGGAGGATAGGAAGAATATTGATGGTTTGAGCTTTCGTTGGAGAAGACCCTCGAGGATACTGTAGACAACGAAGAATACAAATACATCACAGGGGGAAAAAAATCAACACACAGTTCTCACTCGAGGCACAAATTATCCTACTTTGGACACATTATGTGAAGACCCAGCTCCTTGGAGAAGGCTTTAATGCTTGGAAAGGTGGAAGGAAAAAGTACAGGAAAAGATGAATGGGAAGAGTTACAGAAATGTGCCCTGTTGGAAGACCTGGAAAACCTGGTTAGGGAGAAATCATGATGGAGAAAATCAGTCTATATACTTACTAAAAGTTGACAATAACCTGATAGCACATAATAAGTCAACAAGTTTGTATAGGAACAGGACAAGAGTATTATATTGAATTGACTGCCTTAAAAAAATCAGTCAGCTTTTTCTTGGTGATTATAATAAGAGAAGAGCAACATCCTTTTGATGAAGGGCAAATGTGTTAAGAAGTTGGAATGAAAGGGGAGCAATGCATAATTATGACAGAAACTAAAATATAGCTAGTCATTAAACATAAGAAAATATGTTTTTCATTTACTGATATTTCTAAATTGAACAGGAGCAGAGCATTAATCTTTCCTTCTGATTCTCCTTGTATGAACAAGAGAAGTAGGCTGTCACTCTGATCTTAATCAGAGTGGGGCTCCAGATTTGGCTATTTTTTTCCCTTATACCAAGAGAAAGCAATTATACTGGGAGTATGCAATTTGAGCATATCACTCTCAATAAAATTAACAAATAGTAATTGATGTTGGTATTAGCAAGTTTCTTTTAGAATGTATTTCAGTCGGTTAAAAAATTGTCTGTCTGATTCAAAGTCCACAAAAGCTACATCAATTTATTTATGTTAAAATGAATTAAATGAGCAAGTACAAAATTGCTCTCTAATTTTGAAACCGTTGGCTCATTTTCCAGCAGTTTCATCAAGCAATAGGATCCATTCCTCATAAGTAAGTGAGAAGTAGTTCACTTATATTTTTTAAAAATATCTATTACACTGATTGGTGTATAATTTGTTAGTCCCCCTTTAAAAAAAAAAAAACTGGGATCAGTGTTCTCAGAACGTAACTTGACAGAATGTACCCTTTATTTTTATTGAATGAAATGATTTAGCCATGACAGAAAAGCCTCCATCAAATACCACTTTAAAATCTTTCTTGAGATAATTTCATCTTGTGCTGCCTTATTTTTGAGGAGAGATGTTAAATAAGAGCTTTACTTGTGGTATTAGGGGGAGGAAAAAACTCAAATCAGGAGCCCCAGCTATTAAGATCAGAGTGACAACCTGCTTCCCTTGTTCATACAAGGAGAGTCAGAACGAAAGATTAACGCTCTGTTCCTATGTGATTTAGAAATATCAGTAAATGGGAAATTTATTCAAGTTTGTATAGCTTTCATGCACTGATTGCAAACTGCAGAGCCCTCACATGTTGGATTTAGATGGAAATTTTTCAGGTAGCAGCACGGTTTTTGAAACAGGATTTCTTGTTGTTAGTATTTCAGGGGAGGTAGATATTTCTACAGTCTTCATTTTAATTTACCTCATAGCTTTTATTTACTTATTTAGGATTCTTTATAGTGTAAATTAAATCATGCTGGTCTTCTAATTGGTAATAAACCTAAAAAGAGGAGGTTTAAAACTAAAATAGAGTTTTCAGTTACTCTACAATTTATCAAGATCTGAATATGTTAAAAATGGCAAAAGCGCTATTGCTGTCTTGCATATCAAAATATAATCTTCATATACTGGTGAACTGAAAGGTCCACCTAAACTCCATTTTGTCACTAATGGGAGTGTGTGTGTGTGTAAAATTTTAAAGATGAATTTAGCACAGAATATCTGTGTACACATAGTCCAACTATCAGGAAATGATTCCTTGTCACTGATGTTCATGACTAATACGTGCATACTGAATAGAAGCAACAAGGATTATGTGACTGAAAATGTCATTTTCCCTAGGAGCATCAATTATTTTGGAATACATTTAAAAAGCATAGTGGGCACCGGCAAACAAATATAGTACAGATCACATTTCCTGCTAGGTCATGTGACTCAAATCTAAAAACAAATTCACTTCAGAGTAAGAACTGAGATCCTCACAATTCTGAAAATTACACAAAGACCATCTTGTGATGGTCTCTATATTCTAGCCAGTCCTCTACCTCCATATGGCTGACATGCTTCTATGTTTCAATCAGCTATGATGATTTTGGAAAACGCTGACAGAAAATAGAAATAATCACTCTCCAAAGAACTCTTCAAAAATGTCTTGTTCTGATGTCACCATGGAAAAACCAAAAATCAAACAATGTCCCCTCCTGATTTTAAATGCACCTCTGTTGTATGCAATAAAAGAGAAAAGCAGCCGGTCTGAAAACTGCATACTAAGAGTGAAAGAAGATGCCATTTTTTAGAAATGTAATGTTTAATAAAAGTACAGGTAGTCTTTGACTTACAACCATTCGGTTAGTGCCCATTGGACGTTACAACACTATTGAAAAAAGAGATTTATAGTCATTTTTCATCCTTATGATCACTGCAAATCCCCATGTTGTTGTGATCAAAATTAAGATGCTTGGCAAGTGTTGCAGTGTCCCAAGAACATGTGATCACCTTTTGTGACCTTCTGACAAACAAAGTCAATGGGAAAGCCAAATTCACTTAATGACCATGTTAACAACTAACGACCATGTTAACAACTGCAGACCATGTTAACAATGCAGTCAACAAAGTCAATGGGAAAGCCAAATTCATTTAATGACCATGTTAACAACTGCAGTAATTCACTTGACAGCTGGGGCAGGAAAGGTTGTAAAATGGGGCCAAACTCACTTGATTGTCTTGCTTAGCAACAGAAATTTTGGGCTCAACTGTGGTGGTCGTATGTTGAGAACTATCTGCATACAAATAAATGTTGTCAGACTTCTATCAAGTCATGGAATAAAGCACTCTGTTCAATACACACACACCACTTTGTAGAGAAATCCAAATTAAAGCATTCCTGACAGGTAGCAGTCTAGCTTTCAACACATCCACTGCAGGAGAACCAAACTTTCCATGGTTCCTTTTCTTGAGAATCTGGTCCTCTTTCTATGTCTTATATATATGCTCTACCAACCCCACCCCCATTGGAATTATTTGCATTTGATAGTTTAATGTATTCATTTTAGAATCCTTCCTGAGCTCTTTTTTCCAATTAATTTCCGTTTGGCAAGAAAATAATTTCCTGATCCTCTCAAACAGGAGAGGAGCCCAGCAGCCCAGCCCATCATACAATTTAGTTCTGGCACAAATCAGGAAATACTACACAGAAAATTTAAATTAGACACTTTTTACTAAGCCAGTAAAGATTTGTAGGGAAAGAAAAAAAAAATCACATCTGCTGTTTTTTTTTTCCTATGGAATAAGGATTGTTTCAAATATTCAACTTGTACTAAGCTTGTGTAAAATTATTTTCATATCTCAAGAGAAGTTTCCAGCCCTCCTTCAATAACCCAATGAAAAAGACGGTGTTATTATCCATTTACTGCTGATATGAAAACAGAAATAAGTCTAAATAATAAACGAATACATTGATATAATGTTTTTCTACATTCCTGCTTTAAGAATATTTGTGTTTTTTATCTTCACTAATCCATATCTTTTATTTGCCTTTGAACTATCTGTGCACTAAACATCTTATATGAAAAACAGAATGTATTATTAATTTTTATTTTTCCTGGTTTTGTTGCCTCATTATGAATTTTTGCTTGTTTCTTTAAAAGACAAGACATTGTAGCATTTTTTTCTTACAATTTTCTGCAACAGCACTTAAGACTAATTCAAGAGAGAAAGAGGGGGTGGGAGAGAGAGAGAGGTGACTTGTGAGAGATGTGTCTTGTCAGACCCAATAATCTATTTTCTAGCAACGATCAGGAATCTCCACCCACTAAAGTTGAAAACTGAAAATTTTAGCATCCACCACTACTGGCTACTGGGACTATTATCTTGAGAAATTACAGATTCACCACTTCGTAAATAATCAATTATGAAAAATTGCACAATTAGCAAATGTTTCTAATTTATTTTACTACTGCACGAAATCAAAATCTAGACCTCAAAGTATAGCCAAAGCTTCTCAGTATCTAATGCTGTTAGGTAAATAAGTAAAGGCTTGATTATGGTCCTTCTCAGAAGAGAAGCTCCCTCTACATTTAGAATAACATCTCAAATATTGTCTTGCTATTCAAAAAAGAACCCAAAGGATAAGATTGCAGCCTTTTTGCTCCCAGTTTACCATGGAACCAGCATGCCACATCAACAAGGCCACGTTGCTCTTTTCCTGCTTTAGCAAATTAATGGCTGGATGTGCTATGTCCCGATATTGGCTCTCAAAGACAATGAAGATTGGCTTCCGGGAGAGTTCCAGCAGTCTCCAAAGTCCTTCCCTAAAAAAAATAGGCAATGGCGTTACAGAATTACCAACAAAACTTGGTTTTTATAATTATTTATAGTTCTGCACTCTGCAGAAAAACACTTAACTTCTTTCATTCAACTAAGACAGTGATGACTAACCTTTTTGCCATCGCGTGCCAAGAGGGTGGGGCGGGAGAGGTTCGCGTGAATGCGTGCCCACACCCATAATTCTATGCATCCTGCCCTGTGCATGCGCGTGCAACCCTCCCTCCGCCTCCCCCCCCCGCTCCTGGCATGCAATGGCCCGGTAGGCCTGTTTTTCTTTGTCACCTGGCTCCAGATCCTCTCTGTGCATCTGCCTCTCTAAGAGTCTCTGGAGGCTGGGGAACAGCAAAAAACGTCACTTCCTATCCAACCGGGAGTTGGGAAATGGGCCGTTTCAGGCCTCTGGAGAGCCTCGGAGGGGGTGGGGAAGGCTGTTTTCACCCTCCCCAGATGCATAGAGAGGATCTAGAGCCAGGTGAGAAAGAAAAACAGGCCTTCCCCACCCCCCACCCCCAGGCCCTCCAAGGCAGGAAACAGCCTGTTTCCCTACTTTTGGTGGGCTCAGAAGGCCCGAAAATCAGCTGTCCGGTGTCTACATGTGCACCAGAGCTGAGCTGGCGTGCCCACTGATATGGCATGCGTGCCATAGGTTCGCCATCACTGATCTAAGATATACCATACCCAAGCTTCATTAACCTTAGAAGCATATCAGTTGCTCAAATATCAGAAGCTAACCTGAAAAGTACAAATTTTAGTCTCCTACATATCATTTTCAAAGATGTAGGAGAGATTTTAGTTGCTGCAAATAAGATGACCTAGAAGCCTGTTAAAAAATAAGTGATTGTAGTCAAATATTACATTCTCCATGTCTTCTACTATAGCTTGGAAGACTCAAAATGAGCCACCTGCACATAGTCAGTTGAACAGAATATTTATTGTATTAGTTTTTCAAGTCAGAGTTTACCTTGACATTCAAACCAAACAGTGACCTGCAAAAACTCATGAAACAGATTGGAAACCAGAATAAATAATTAGTTTGAAAACTTGGTTTGGAAGGATTCATACAAGAAACAGTTTATTAGTTTATGCATCACAGCAAAATACAGTTTACAAGACAGTACAGCATTTTTTTAAAAAACCCCAGACATAATGAGAGAAGGGAGCAAATACACACACACAAATATTAAAGAAATGGGTGTCTATTTACCTGAAATTATTGTTGCACCATTCTTGTTCTAAATATGCATACGAAAGAACCACAATAAGGCGTCGACATCGGCTGACATTCATAATCAGATCTGCAGAAGGTTCTGGAAAAGAAGATTGTTTGTTTGTTTGTTTGTTTGTTTGTTTGTTTGTTTGTTTGTTTTTCCGAGAAAGGCCAACTCCTTGGGGATTTTTTTAATCATTCATCTTTTGATGAAGATTATGCAAGAGCCTGTTATCATCATCATCCAGATCCAAATTAAGTCCCATAATTTGGGACTTTAAAACGTTGGGATGGAAGATATCTGTCAGATCTCTATCAGAGAATCAGGGGAAATGTAAACTTGTTGATCCTGCTCAGTTTTTTAAAAGCTCCTGATACTTTTAATCATAGTAACCTTCAGAAACATATCTCTTAAATAAGGTATTCAGGGCACATTTTTAGACCAGCTCCTTTCTTACGTCAGGGCTATTCTTAAGAGAAATAGCCCTGAGTGACTATATCTTCATCTGGTGACAATTAAGCTGTAAAGTTCCACAAGAATTTATTCCATTCCCAGTGATGTCTAACATTTAGATGAAAACACCAGCAGAGACTTCATCAGTACATTGATAACAGCAGGCGGTACGTCACTATATTTTTTTGAATCAAGAGAATTTGTGCAGCTTTTTGACCGATGTCTGAATGCAGCAATTTTTTTTTTTAACAACAGGCAAATAAAGTGAAGCTGAATCCTGACAATAGTGGCACTGCAGAGATGGTTTCTTGTTCGAGATGGGGGCATTTCTTCTTAAGGAGATGATGAGTTTCAGAATGTTCCTGAAGCCATCATGATCAATGGAGATGCAGTTCTTCCTTTTTTTTCTATTCCATGGTTATGGCCACAGCTATTAATACACTAGCAATATCCATTACACACTACCCTGGTTCTTAAAATCTGATGTTGTGCTGTTGTTATTGCTTTATTGTCAGGAATTTGCTGTAAGGTGGCCAATTTGATCTAGTGGTTAACATGGATTATTCAAATATAAAATATATTCACTTTAGTATGTCAGCATTGGGGGAAAAACTACTCTGTTATGAACATGAGGACAAAAAGCAAATTAATTACACATTTCTCTTGATTCACTCAAATCATTCCACAGGACCAAAGTGAATAAACCTAGGCCTTCATGAAGTACTTCTAAGAACCTGCTGCTGAAATTTAACAGCAATATGTTCAAATTGGTGCAAATTATTTAACCCGCATTCCATTTGAAGGAAAGATTTGGAGTGGTTTGCTTCTAGGAATCTTCCTGTTCCAATTGAGGGGGAAAAAAACCTCAGTTTGGTGGTATCTTTGCAGAAGGGGTATTCAGCAGGTTCTGACCAGTTCTGGGGAACCGGTAGCGGAAATTTTGAGTAGTTCGGAGAACCGGTAAATACCATCTCTGACTGGCCCCGTATCCATCTATTCTCTGCCTCCCAGCTGATCAGGAGGAAATGGGGATTTTGCGGTAACCTTCCCCTGCCACGCCCACCAAGCCATGCCACGCCCACCAAGCCATGCCACGCCCACAGAACCGGTAGTAAAAAAAATTGAATCCCACGACTGTATCTTTGGATGTTCTCCTGCAGTCCTCTACCAATTCAGGAAGCTAAGCTATAGAGCCAAACTACCAAATGCTGCCCTTTCTTGTGCCAGTTTTTACCTGAGTTGGGTAGAATGTTCTTCTCATCTAAAAAGAGCTTGTAACCATAGCGATTCTCTAGCTGTGGCTTCACTATGAAATTCACAAATTTTCTATCATCCACTGAATCAGCGTAAGATACATAGGCATCGTAAATTTTTCCATCTGTAGAAAAAAGCATAGAGAAATACAGTATGTTATACCAACAGATTATTTTTTTTAAAAAAAAAAAAAGCAATCTCATCTAATTCCCATGGTACCCACAGCTTTTTTGATGTGAATTTCAAAATGGGACAGAGAGGAGTTAACTTTGACTTTTGAGTTTGGAATATCCTTGGAGGCAATGTCACATAAATAGATGGAATGTTAGACAAAGTTAAACTGAAGAAAAGATACAGGAAATAAAATGCAATAAATTATACATATGCTGGCTTCTTTCATCTATTCCACAGATCCCTGGGTGTCAAGAGACAGCAGGATGGCACCTGTTGTGGCTTCTGATTATTCCCATTTAAAAGAAAGATGTAAAAATATAGGCTTGGCTAGAATTTTAAGATATAATATAATTTTCAAAAATCTCTCCTCTCTTATTTCAATGACTTCTCCAAATGTTAAATATTCTGAATCAAGAGAAAAGGGAAAAGATATATACCATTAATTTCTACTTCTCCATAATGATTCCGGTACCAGAGCAGAGCATTCAGTCGGCACTTCACATACATTATAGCTACAAATAGCAGGAGTGCTGCAGCAAAAAATGTGACTAGCACTGCACCCAAGTGCCCAACAGTCTCTTCTGAAAAGGAAACAAACAACATTAATTACAATTTCTGGCGAAACAGTACACTGTAGGGTAGAGTTAAAAGTGAAAGCTGATTCTGTTGGGGAAAAAAATTGACGCATTGCTGTCTAAATAAGAATAACAGCAACATAACTACAGAGGTGAGCAAAATTTGAAAAATGGAAAGTTACAATTCTCTGTGGTGAGTATTCCTATTCACAAAATAATAAATAAAGGGATGAAGGATGGATATGAAGTCAATTCCTGACATGTGTCAGAGTCGAGCTTATCTCATTAACATTTGTACACAGAAACTGGCTTTTAAGTCTTTTTTGGCATCTGAAAGCTAGAAAAGAGCACGCTAAAAAAAGTCTGCAGAATGCTCTTTTAAAATAACACAGTAGAATGTCCAGAGTCACCGAGGAACCATCCATGCTTAAAATATCAAAATGTGTTTTGCCCTCCCACAAACTTAAAGCATTTAGCATGGATGCTACTCAACATTTACATTTTTGTTAAGAAGGGAAAAACAGTCTTTTTGGGTCAAGCTTAACTCTGGCTAGTATAAATAGATATGTTCCTTGAAGAAGCCAAGCCAAGTTGAAGCTCAACTCCTGAAGACTTCGTAGACAGACCCAAGCAGGGACATTTTTAATAATATGGAAACGAAAGAGTACAGGTTTTCACGGTTGTTACTTATTGGCATGATAACAAATAAGAATTGGTGCTGACTTTTTGCTAATTGAGCCATGAGTATTTTCAGGCTAATATATTCAATGTCTCACAAGGTACTGCCCTGAAATTATTTTACAAGATGGAAGTGGTATGCCACTACATTACCTTCTTCCAGAATGTTTTTCAACTTCCCAGCCTAGTCTACAACCATGAAAATTTTGTTGTTACCTGGTGCCATCATGTGGCAATTTCTCTCCTTAGATTCACAGAGGATAGCTTGTTACAATACTGCTCTTATACAAAGAGCTAGTGCTGCTTCTCATTCTCAAAAGCCCAGTGTTTTACCCACCCTTTTTTAATTTAAGCACAAATATCTTTTATATCCTCTAGGATATTGAGGGTGTATATTACTCTTTCATTCTCTTTTGCGCTCACAAAAAGCACCCAGCAGATGGAAGGTCAACTCAAATTCCTACACCCCATGCTTTAAAGCTGCATTGATAATGAAAAAGACTATATGAATGTTTTTGTTTATGACTAAACAGTAAAATAGCCTTGGTGGCGCAGCAGACTAAAGCACTGTTAAGTAACACCAGCTGCCTGCAATTACTGCAAGTTCAAATCACACCAGGCTCAAGGTTGACTCAGCCTTCCATCCTTTCGAGGTAGGTAAAATGAGGACCCAGTTTGTGGGGGCAATAAGCTGACTTTGTATAAAAAAGAACACCGCTTAGGGGGGGCCGAAAGCCCTACTAAGCAGGTATATACAAAAGTATGAAGGCTATTGCTTAATGCATTGTAAGCCATCCTGAGTCTCTGGAAAAGGGCGGCATATAAATCGAACCAATAAATACAATAAATAAATAAATAAATACAGCAAATGAATATTTTAATTCATTAGTCTGTCATTTGATCAACAGAAGCAGAAAATTTGCTCTTGAATGGATAAATATTATTAGGATGATTTTGTGAACTCATTACTATTAAACAATTAATGCTGTGTACATGTAGCTGCAATGATAATCAATAGAATCTTTTATGATTATTTTCATGGGCACACTACCTGATTTTTTCAGTGTAAAAAGAGCTGTACTATTTCTAATGAAGCAGGCAAAAACTCCATAATTTTCATCAGTCATGTTTAGTGCTAAAGAACTGGAGATAAATATTTTGGTTTCATTGTCACTGAACCTGAAAAACAAAGAAAGAAAGAAAGAAAGAAAGAAAAAAGTTAGCATATTGCTAAACACTGTTATTTTGGAAGAAAAGCAAATGATGAGAATCAAGAAATTTCAGATTTGGGCTACCCAAAAATGTTAGGGTGCTTACAGACAGAGGACTCCTAATGCTGCCTATGAAAGTACACTGTATGAAGTTACATTTTTTTTCCACAGTGCACTTGATTTTAGTAATGAAACAATGGCAGCAGAAGAAATAATAGGGAAATATGGAAGAGTTATTCATGATATGAACAATCTCGAGATTCCTGTAAAATTCCACAAATACAGCAGGTCAATTATACCTTGAAAGTCTTATCTGGATTCCACCATGTACTGTACCCCTTTTTAAACTCTAGAAAAGTGCATGATACTCATGGATGGAAAGTCTTTGGTGTTTGGTGTTAACACTGGATCAGGAAAAAAGATGCCACTGCCATATTTAACTAAGAAGACCTAAGCAAATCTGTGCTATGGAAATTCTCTTTGTGGTTTAACATGTCCATCTTGGTAATCTTGCCTTTCTCTACTATAAAAGCAAGTTTGCATGAGCAAAGATGTTACATGAATTGGACAATACATCCCTTTTTTCTATAATTTCTGATTTATGTAAGTTTTCAGAGTCATATTTGATATGCCATTTTTCTTTATTTTCCCAAGCACCCCCTTTCCAGTTTGGGAAAAGCAGCAGGAAGTTTCAGTTACAGACAACAGGCTTTTGTTTTCTCACCCCAAATACTTAGCACCTTCCTCTCTCATTCTTCTCATGTAATTTCCAAGCTATCTCTCTTCTGTATTCTCTCCTCATTTCCCATGGCTTAGTCTGCAAACCTACGCTAGTATGCTTGGGAATAATCATTGAACTCAATGCGGTTTCTTTGCATTAAGTAGTCTGAATTGGATTGTACATTTCTAAAAGGAGAGGCGGACAGCTTATTTTTAAACTGTATTAATGGTAATATTGAGTACCCTAACCAGCATACCTTGGGCGGGTCACTCTCTCTCAGCCCAACTCACCTCACAGGATTGTTATTGTGGGGGAAATGGGAGAAGGAAGATGGCAATAGCAAGAGCACTTTAGACTTATACACCGCCCCATGGTGCTTTACGGTCCTCTCTAAGCTGTTTACAGAGTCATCATATTGCCCCCAACAATCTGAGTCCTCATTTTACTGGCCTCAGAAGAATGGAAGACTGAGTCAACCTTGAGCTGCTCAGGATCGAACTTCTGGCAGTACTGCAATACTGCATTCTAACCACTGTGCCATCACATTCAAGATTGTTGGATATGTTCACTGCTTTGAGTTATTTATAAAAATAATAAAGGTGGGATACAAATAAATAAACAAATATTCAACAATTTTGTGTCCCTATTTAAAACACTTCCAAAGTTTCTTTCATTCAATACAGCTGTTTCCTTTTGTTGTTGTTGTTCTTTTCTTTCAAAAGAAACATATTAGGAGCAATTACAAAAACTTAATCTGTCAGGAGGCTCCCTTGCCTCTCGCCTGTTTTTCTCCCTACCCTCCATCCAGAACCTTCTTCTTGTCTACAAGATCAGAGGTTCAGGTGATGGATACAGCCTAACTGCCACTACCATGATTATACATGATAAAAAATAATTTCTCCAGCCTGAAGAAAAAATCCCACTTTCCTCAGGAACATTGATCAATCCAAGCAAATATGCTCTGAAGCTTCAGTTCATTTAAGGTCTTTTCAAAGGAGCAGATTGGGAATTGTGGAAAGAAGATTAAATTTACTGAGTTAAAGGGAAGATTGGGTAAATTGTTATATGGGCAGTAGGCTTAGTTCTCATGAATGCAATCAAACCAGCTAATTTACATTGCACATATACTTGCAGAGATTTGGGATCTTCCAAAATCATTTCTCTCCACTTTCTTTTACATACAAATGAATTGTAAGTTCTACCTATGGAGCATGTAAAAGTTTTACTTAAAATGTGCTTTTGTTTTGTTTAGGAAAAATTTTTTATGAGTTTTTAATCTAATTCTCTTTAAACTGCCTCAGTTTTTATTCCTTTTTTCACTTTCTCTTCTTTCATTTTTAAAGAGTCATAATTATTGTACTCGAACATTTTCTTTTTGTCGTTTTTACCTCTGGATTTATTTTCAAGTTGAATTAAAGCTGCCTACTTTGATCGTAAAAGTCACAAACTTACACAACTAACTACAAAAATGTAGCAGAATGGATTCAGGAAAGTAGATTCTCCCACTATAGAAAAAAAACAACTAACAATTGACAAGATACTGACAAGTCAAGATATTGTAGAGTTAAGACCTTTATTTATACTTAACAACTTTGCTGTGCTTAGTTCTGACTGTGAGAGATTTCCTATCCTGGGCAGTAGTCTGAAAGAATAGGAATCATCAATTAATATTATACCAGAGAAGGGACACATAACCAACGTAATACTGCTTACAGAGGTATTCCGGTGTGTGTGTGTGTGTGTGTGTGTGTGTGTGTGTGTGTGTGTGTGTGTGAGAAGCAAGCCTAAGTTTCTACTAGATTATACAACTGAATAATGTCTGCTTATAGGTCAGACTATTTGTGAACAATTATTGACAATCAATAACAAAATTAATGAGCTTAATACATCTTTCCAGCTTTATGCTCAAGGGCATTGTGAGAGTCATCCCCACGTCACCTAAGGAAGTGAGAGTGAGAGTGAAAGAAACAAAGGAGAGAGGAAAAATACACAAATCTGACTCCCACAAAGAGAAAAGACAAAGGAAAAACAACATATGGCATACTCATTGAGAAGCATGAAAATAAACAAGAAGCCTCCTTCCCAAATTAGGGTTATTTTATCCAATCGAGCAGAGTGATTCCACAGAACAAAAAGAACCAAAGAAAGTGGAATTCCAAAAGATTTACTTTAAAAGCTTCTGGGGTGGAACTACTGTATAAGCATCCTATTGTTTCACAGAGGTCTTTAACTTTTGGAGAAGCTGAAGTGGAATCATAATAGATTTATTTACTTAGGGTTTTCCGCTATTCAGTTCTCACAGGCTCTGAGCAACTTGCAACCAATGCAACAGAAGACTAAAAAAAGAGACAAATACAACTGCTAACAGAACCAGTCTGTTGTGCCACAATCTGAGGATTGAATAAAGCTCACTTGTCCTCAAATGCTTTCCTAAATAGTCATTTTTTATGAAATGCAACTACTCACAAATGTTGGGGTGGTAGCCCTGTCCCTGCTGTATTCTCTCTTTGAGTAAGAGTATCGGAAAGAGAATAAAAATCACAAACAAACAAACAAACACAGAGACAAAAAAAATCTAAATATTTGAATCCATTGGGCTTCTGCTGTTCAGAAAGAGGCATCCAAAACTCCAAAAATAGTTCACCATTTTTAATATGTTCTTCTCCAAGCTGTTGCCTTGCTATTATTCTAACCATCTCTCCATCTTTTGTTTCCTGCAGCAGTTTGAAGATGGTGGGCAAGTGGATGTACTCTAGATCTTAGCACAACTGTTGGTGATAGAGCAGTTTAGAACAGGGGTGTTTAAATTTGGCAACTTTTAAGACTTGTGGACTTCAACTCCCAGAATTCCACAGCCAGCTGGTCCTTCAGCAAGTGGAAGAGGAATAGAGAAAGATCGTCCTATTGCTATCTACTTGGCCAAGCAAATAATGTTCTTCAATTGCTTTCTCAGCTCTGCCTCTTCTACCAGCTCTTTCCCTCATTGCCCTTTCTAAACTTACCAGGCATGCAAACAAGCCTCATTGCCTCCACTCTAATGATTACTGAGTACCTTAAAACTAGAATAATAATCTTGAATCAAGGTTAATCCTTCATGATTATAAGGACAGAACCATGCAGTTTTCAGTACAAAAACAGTTTGCCACTTCCCTTTTCTGCAGTGTTGTCAACTAATGATCAGGCTTTTGGTGTTAGAAGGACGTTAGAAGAAGAGATTTGGATGGCATGGACATTTGTGGTATGATAAAGTTAAGGTTAATGCTGGATTTTAAAAATCATTATGTTAGACATGCCATATGGAAATAGATAGAAATTCAGGTTATACTGAAAAACACCTTTGTGGCTCTCGGCACAAAAAATGATTTATAGATGAGAAATACCAGGCAAATAAAATAGCTAACTTATCATGAGCAGAATTTTGTCAAAGGGAGTGGGATATTTTAAGCTTCTCCGTTTAACCTACAGCCATGACATCTCCTGGACTTCTCTCATCCAAACACTAACAAAGCCCTATCTGCTCAACCTCTGGGTCTAGCTAAATTAGGTCAGTGGCAAAGGAACCCATCAGCCCAGGTTCTAGCCAGTTTCTATTTTCATTTCCACTCAGAAAAATCAACAGACAAATGCAAAAGTCCTAAGAAGAAGGAGGGTGGAAAGCAGACTGCAGAATCACCAATTTTTTAAAAAAGATGTTGCATTGGAGGTAATACACCTGAAACATATCAGTTTGTTATTGGAGAAACATAAATTATTTTTCCAATAAGAATTTGAATTGATTACTGAGTTCACAAGAATCTATTGCCCAGATTCCCTGGATGGTGGTAGGCACTACCCTGATGGTAATATATCATACAGCCCATGTCATCCTCTCATATTATTAAATCATATAAATTCTCTATATATGTGTCACTGAGCATCTCAGCATTACCACACACCATAACACTGGGAAGGAGTGTTCATATCATATTTTTAAATTGTTAATTATGGGTTTTAATGCAGGGATGTTTTTAATTGTGGGCCAAATTAATTTAATTGGATTTTAATACTGTTTTTAAATTTTGTATTTCTTGTGTTTTATCTGTTGGCTGTTCACCACCCCGAGTCCTTTGGGAGAAGGGCGGTATATAAATATAAACAATAAATAAATAAATAAATAAATAAATAAATAAATAAATAAATAAATAAATATTCTGAAGCTGTAAAACTAAGACAATTATTCTCTCTCTCTCCAATTAGACATACAATTTTTTCATGTTAAAACATAAACCCTTTTCTTTCTGATTTTTTATACATAAGCTTTTTCTAACATTTAGTATAAGTATTCCTTCCTAGAAATACAGCAAGTGTACCTTCCATTCCATAACATCAGTTTCACTGCAAATTTACTTTTCATTCCAGAATAATCAGCAGAATGTATGCATGCATGCATTCATTCATTTTCTATAGCTGCCCATCTCAGTCAATAATGCAAAATTCAAAAAAATATTAATACAAACAAAAATACTAAAAAACACTAAAACAATAGAAACATCTAAAATAAATATACATAGCAGCCAAGATACTTAGCTAGTTAGCAATACAGCCAGGAAATAGGACCCTTAACACATTCAGCACCCAAGGTTAGGAACACAGCCAGGTGTTTAGAGCCTTACAAAAGGCTGACACAGTTGGGGTCATTCTAATCTCCAAAGGAAGTTCCATAGAGCAGGGGACACTGGGGAAAAAGCCTATCTTCCAGTCCAGGGGTGTCAAACTCAATTTCATTGAGAGCCACATCAATGATGTTGTGTTTGACCTCGGAGGGCCATGGGGCATGGCCATGGTGAGTGTGACTCAGGACTCATGTCTGGGGGCACCCATGGTGACCAACTGCTAATGCAGGACTTCCCTGAGACCCTCTCGCACTCTCATTATAATCTCCTTCCTTCCTTCCTTCCTTCCTTCCTTCCTTCCTTCCTTCCTTCCTTCCTTCCTTCCTTCCTTCCTTCCTTTCCTTCCTTCTCTCTTCCTTCTTCTTCCTTCCCCTCTTTCCTTATTTTTCCTTCCTTGCTTCCCTCCCATCCCCGGAGGAGACCAACTCTGTGGGATCTTACCGGTCGCTGAGAGCTATGTGGTAGAAGGCGGTCTTGAAGGTAACCTGGCCCTGAGCCATGTAGGGCTTTAAAGGTAATAACCAACACCTTGAATTGTGCCCGGAGACCAATAAGAGCCAGTGCAGCTCGTGGAGAATTGGTGTAATGTGGGTGTATCTAGGTGCACCCACAATAGCTCGCGCGGCTACATTCTGGACCAACTGTAGTCTCCGAACACTTTTCAAGGGTAGCCCCATGTACAGCGTGTTGCAATAATCTAACCGTGAGGTGACAAGGGCATGAGTGACTGTGAGGAGAGCCTCCTGATCCAAGTAGGGTCGCAATTGGTATCCTTCACCCTGCCATGCCCACCAAGCCACGCCATGCCCACCAAGCCATGCCCACCAAGCCACACCCACAGAACCGGTAGTAAAAAATTTTGAAACCCACTACTGCCTTTCTTGTCAAATGCAAAAGGGGAAACATTTCTCCTTTTGTTTTGTTTTTAATTTGTTTTGATAGCCTTCTGCCAGTGAAAACGGAGCTCGGGGGGACATGCAGCCCTTCGAGCTCCGTTTTCACTAGCAGAGGCAATGCGGGCCGGTTCTTTGCTGCTTCCAGGCTAGACCAGAAGACCAGATCTAAGCACCTCGCGAGCCGGATGTGGCCTGCAGGACTTGAATTTGACACCACTGTCCTAGTCCTTGCCAGCCAACACTCTTTGGTTGACGGGATCTGCAGGATAGGTAGGTAGGTAGGTAGGTAGGTAGGTAGATAGATAGATAATCTCTTGCAAAAGATGATCCCTTAGGTAACCCAGTCCCAAGACATGTAGGACTTTAAAAGTAACCACCAGTACCTTGAGTTGCACCTAGAAAAACAATGGTAACCAATGCAGCTCCCGCAGAGATGTTATTATGTGTGCCATCTATTTGGCACCATTTACTAAACTCACAATTGCATTCTGCACCAGCTGAAGTTTCCAAATGATCTTCAGGGGCAGCCCCACATATAGTGTGATAATTGTCTTCAAAAAAATCTTCAGTTTGAGAGACTTCTTGCCCTCCTCACTGTCACCACTGTGCAACCAAATAAAGATAACTTTATATAAAAGTTTTCTTACCACTGAGTAGAAGAAGCATGAGTTTTATTGTCTAAGAACTGATTATCTTTCATCCAGCGCAGGTCAAGATCACAGTCGTTACTGTAAGGCAGCTGCACAGTGCAGTTCAGTGTTATTTGACTTTCCAAAGCTTGCTCCATAGTCAGATTGCTAGAGGGATAAAGGAAGTGGGGAAGTATACTGCAAAGATCTGTTAGAAGAACAAAAATATAATATTTTTTTTAAAAAAGGGACTGAACTTCCAATTGAATTTAACAAATCCTCTATTGATTTTTTAGAGCTGGTTAACAGGTAAAGTTAAGTCTAGTTTGGTTGAGATCTGCATCCCCACTCCCTTTGTCACACTGATTTCCCTATCTCTTGGGGAAATAATAGGTTCAGCTATATATCTGTCATTATATATACCCCTGCCTTTCCATTTGATATAGAAAAGTCAGTATCCAGATTCTCAAGAAAACAGGCTATTTCTTAAATAAAAAAACATTGAGGACATGGTGGAGGAGAGGGAGAGAGAAAATGTCTACACACAGCTGTAAGAAGCGATAATAATTATGAAAGTCTTACATTAATTATTAACTTTTTTATTAGCAGTAACTAAATTACCATTAGTGCCTGTTCAGAGTCCAATGAAGGTCACTCTCTAAGTTCCTCATCCATAACATATGAATGGAACTTTTGCACATTTTTTTTGAACTAGCTAGGAGATAAAATCTTGTTGATCTTAACTAATCTCAAAAAGGCTAAGCAGAGTTGGAAATGGGTAATGCTTGGATGGGATACTGTTTAAAATTTGTAAGACTGAGAAGACTATCTGTCTGTCCATCCATCCATCCATCCAAGAAGGGCAAACCACTTATGTTATCAAGAAATCTACAGTACATGGACCTGTCCGTGAAAGTCAGACAAGAAGGACTCTCTCTCTCTCTCTCTCTCTCTCTCTCTCTCTCTCTGTGTGTGTGTCTTTCAGTCAGTGTTGACTCAGGTGACTGCTGTGGACTATTCTAGCAGTTTTCTTGGCAAGATTTTGGAAGTGGTTGCTACTGCCTTTCTAGGACTGAGTGTGTATGGATGACTCAAGGTCATCCAGCTGGTTTTGTGCCTAACGCAAAACTAAAATTCACATTCCCAGTTTATAGCTTGGTGCTATAACCACTGCACCAAACTGGTTCCCCAAAAGTATTTATTCTTACATAATTTCAGAATCCTTGAGGGGGGTGGAAATTTCCACTATTTAAAATTACTGAAACTCATCATCTAAAGGTATGTAAGGAAAGCTGGGGAGGGCGGATAATGAGGTAGGACTAGTTACAGTAGTAACATACAATGCATCCTATCTTCTGTACTGTAATCTAGGTATTTTTTTTCCCTTTTATACACCTTCTCTTCTCAAAGCTAGAAATCAAACCTTTCTTTTCTTCTTTTTAACACAAATGAAATAATTTTGTAGAAATGGGGATTTGTGTATTTGCCAAGAAATTAAGTCAATTCATACTATTCTGGAGCTCAGATAGTATAGAGGGCAAAAATATATGAAAGTGCAGCTACTCAAATTGTGGATATATACAATGGTGGGCTGCTGCCGGTTGTAACAACTGGTTCGCCCAGCACCCAAAATGTGAATGCATGTGCATGCTCGCTTTGCTTGCACACATGCCTTCCGCGCACGCACGTGGCCTTCCACACATGCATGTGGCTTCAAAAACATGGCGATATAGGATGGGATAGCGCCGGGACTGGTGAGCGGGCGGGCCCACTTGTGGGTCGCAACTACCGGTTCACCTGAACTGGTCTGAACCAGCAGCAGCCCACCTCTGGATATATACAAAGAAATGAGAGGACTTATCCTTTCAGTGACATATATTCATATATAATCCTTATTTGCCTTTTAAAGAAAATAACATACATATTTTTATTACAGAAAAATGCTACTTTTGACGTCAGTACCCAATTCCTAGTCAAGTCAAAGGAACTTTTGAGATTTTTGTTTGGTTATTTTTATTTTTAAGAAAAGTAAAGGGCTTCCTAGTGGCATTCTACAGGTAGATTTTGACTGACAACCAGTTTTTGAAGTTAACAATGAACCCCACAAAAAGGGACTTACAACCCGGACTTGAAATTCTGAAGGCTGCCCATCTCCATGGTCATCTCAACTGTATTTTAGGCACTTGGCAACTGACCTGCATTTACAGCCATTTGAAGCATCCTGTGGTCATGTGACAATTTACATTTTTTTTCTACAAACTGATGTTTACTGCTTCCAAAACACATCCATAACAAACAATGGGTTTGTACTGTTAATGTATTCATTAACAACATCTGTGTTTGTTTTAAAGACTGCCATGTTTGCTGAATGACTGTTGCAAAAAGGTTGCAAAATTGTGTGCAGTCACATGATGATCCACTTAACGACCATCATGGCACAATTATGGACATAAGTCAAGGACTACCTATAGTCTAAAATTTACCATATAAAACACAAAGGAAAGGAACATTTGTCTTTTCCAACCACTTGTTTAACCTACAGTAAATAAAAGATAAGACTTTTCCCACTTTAGTTTAGAGTCCAGGAGCAATTGTTACATTATCAGTCACAAATGATGATCAAAATTAGTAACACTGAATAGTATGCACAGAAACTATAAATAAAATCATATGTAGCAAAAACAGAATTGGAAAGCTTATTTTGGCACTTATTGCAGATTCGCCCATCTCTCCTCACCCATTTCTAATTCCATCACTCATTATTACAGTGCAATTAAAAGGTGTTTCCTCTTTTGAGTAGCACCTCCATAACAATAGATTATTCTTCAGTCATTTTTTTAACTGCACAAATTAGTTTGCAATCTGTTTTTACAACTATTTATGTTACCCTAGATACAATATAAAAGCAATGAAGAGCTTAAGGAAGCTCTACAAACTTGTGTCTTTTCACAAACAGATGTCAATTTCTATACAATTTCTACTTCAACACACAAAACAAGCTAGAAATAAATATTATGGCCAACAGAATACTGTTGCCAAAAGCAGACATGTTGCATTTTCTCTTCCCATTAAGTAAATTTCCATTAGGAAACTTAAGGTATTCAGTAACATAGTGAAATTCACTCACTGCTGCAAAAAGAGCCAAAGAAGCAGGATCAGGTAGGAAAACTCATTAAACAATGACAAGATCTCAGATATTTTGCCTTACTAAATCAATCATAGGCTAACACAGATACATCAAAAAGTCTGAAAGTGCAACTCAGATGATAATGATGATAGACTCAGTGCCCTTACTCAGAAGGAAGGAGTGAGAAGAAAAGCTAAGCCAAGCCTGCTTTTTGGTAAGGTACAGATCAACTATGAAATCTTCTAAAAGCTAAAATTAGACCAAAAACTAGTCTCTCTCAGAATACCAGTAGAACTGCTTCTCCTAGGATTAGGGAGCATGGCTGCCCTCAAAGCAAACTGGTCACTTATTTCATTTCTTGTACTCACCGGCCATTTTCCAGCTGTATAATAAAGGAGATATTTCTTTGATTATTCAAGTAGAGGGAACCGGTGTAGTTGCCTACATCATTTGCCCTGAGGTGCTCAAAGGTGAGGCATGCAGTTGTATTCTGCAGTGTGCTGTGCAGGTGGCCGAAGGAGGAGAAGGAGACGTTAAGCTGGTGGCGATCTTAGCTCCACTGGACACCAAAGTCAAAGGCAGACTGAAGCAGTTGATTATCCAAAGGGCAGAACAAATGATTAACAGACTCTTGTTGGATCCAAATGGTGAGATCATACAAGCGATCCGGGTCCACGCAGGATAGATCAGAAGCTAATGGAACCATCCAAGAAATAAGTTAGTAATAAAGCATATCACTTAAAGAGCAATTGCTATATTCCTATGCTGTAGAATCCATTCATACCTTTACAGCAAGTAAAGCACTACCAACTTCCTAAAGCAGATGTGGACAACTGTGGCCCCTTGATTACCTGTGGACTTCAATTCCCAGAATTCAACCCCATGCATTACTGTCTCAGGAATTCTGGGAGTTGAAATCCAAAGGTCGTAAAGGGCCCACAGTTGTCCATCCCTGCCCTAAACATCCCAATCATTTGCTTGTTACAGGAATTACTTAGCAGCAAAACTAAAACAGAACAGTCATCAGGAGCAGAATATATTATAACTTTATCTACATGTACAGATATCACGATAGTAAAATGAGTTATGCCACAGATTGTCTGTCAGTCTTTAAATCAATGTAAGTAGCAATATTTCTCTTAACATTTATGTTTCTAAACCAGCTAAGCTATCTCAGGAATTCTGGGAGTTGAAGTCCACAGGTTGTAAAAGGGCCACATTTGCCCACCCCTGTTCTAAACAATGAATATTTTTTATTGTCAGCTCATGAAGAAGAGATTGGACAACAATTGGTCTGGAATGGTATAAAGTCTCCTGCTCAAGCAGGGGGTTGGGCTAGAAGACCTCCAAGGTCCCTTCCAACCCGGTTATTCTATGTTCTAAATCACAAAAGCTACATTAACCCTATGATTTTTTTCCCTCTACAAGACACATGTCAAGCTTGATCGCATCAAGGACTGGATCGTGACATATCACAATTTTTTTGTCTTTGTGGAGCCGGGGTAGGTGTGTGTGGCCTGCACATGACATATCCGGCCCCCAGGCTGCCATTTTGTCAGGCCTGCCAAGATTTCCCCAAGATACACACACAGATTCTGGGGAAAACAAAGAAAAACAAGTGTTTTCCAGAAGGAAGGAAAATTATCAGATATGTTTGAAGATAGAGAGGTAATAAAAAAAAAAAAACTACTGGCAACGTTCTATAATTATTTTTAGATCTGGAGACATATTTTTTTTGACACACAATGGTTCTTAGATTGCCACATGAAATTATAAATATGTGTCATTAATAAAGTTAATGCATGATCATCACAAATACATATGACTGGCAAGAGAGTAATGCCATCTATACCTAGCAGTTCATTACTATTGATACCCTGCTAGCACTGACTTGAAGTTCAATTGATGTCCTGCAGTTAATGTGCCAATAACTTACTATAAGAGTGTCAAAGGACATGCTCAACCTTTTGACAAGCAAAGTTAATGGGGAAACCAGATTCGCTTAATAACTGTGTTATTAATTTAACAACCGCGATGATTCGCTTAACAAATGTGGCAAAAAAAAGTTGTAAAATGGGGCAAAACTCACTTAACAAATTTATCACTTAGCAACATAAATTTGGGGCTCAATGTGATCGTAAGTTGAGGACTCTAGTAAGAAAATTACTCTCATAAATGGAGTCTAAGAGCTAGAATTACCTGGTTTGGAAGAAAAATCACTGTTCATAGATTATATACATTTCCTTTTTTTCACTCCTGGCTTACATGTCAACTGAGAAACTTCCAAAGCATGTTTGACTAGATTTTTAGAGTAGCAGTTCAGTTCATTATAGATCTTATTTTATTGGCCCAATTATTGCTGTTGACAGCACTTTTTAAGCCCAGGCACTCTTTGTGTGATGAATTCAGTCTGGTCCTAGAAGACAATCTAGAAAAGGCCTCATGGGATACAAAAATGTTGATTTCATGATGAGAAAATTACCTCATGGAGTGTGAGGCTATTACTGAGAAGCTCCTATTTTAAGTATTTACTAGCTTCCTTTTGACCAACGGCTAGCAGAAGAGAGGGAGTTCACAACAAATCTTAATATCTAGCTCACATCAGAGGTGGTATTCAGCAGGTTCTGACCAGTTCTGGAGAACTGGTAGCAGAACTTTTGAGTAGTTTGGAGAATCGGTAAATACCACCTCTGACTGGCCCCATCCCCATCTATTCTCTGCCACCCGAGTCCCAGCTGATCAGGAGGAAATGGGGATTTTGCAATAGCCTTCCCCTGGAGTGGGGAAGGAATGGAGATTTTACAGTATCCTTCCCCTGGAGTGGGGTGGGAATGGAGATTTTACAGTATCCTTCCCCTGCCACACCCACAAAGCCCACAAAGCCACACCCACAGAACCGATAGTAAAAAAAATTGAATCCCACCCCTGGTTCACATGGATGTAGATAGTCCTTCAGCTAACCTGGTCTAAAGACATTTTTATGGTTAGAGTTAGATTTCAAATCGGGCCCAGAAAATGGACAGCTAATATAAATAGCACAAAACTTCTTGAAATTTGCCAGGTCAATATTTTAGTAGCTGCATTTTAAACTAGCTACACTTTCTAAATCTTCTTTAATGACACTTTTCACTATCATACAAGTTCTGCCAATTTCTGAAACATTCCTCCAAGTAACTGAACTATAAGGTCAGAGCCCAAAGCAATTAATGACAAAGGTAGCTTAAGTAGAAAGGGAGGAGAGAGAGAGGGGGGGAGAGAAAGAAAGAGACATGTGTAATTGGAAAGAACCTTCAGTTCCCTAGATAGCTCAAAGAATAGAGAAATGGTCTTGTGGACAATGTGGCTACAGCCTCCATACAAAAGCAAATGAAAGCAACTTACTTTATCTCACAAGTCCAGCCCTACAGTTAGGTAGGCTGAACTGGCTGCTTTAAGTGACAGAAGTTGGGAGCAGGAAGTGATATCCCTCTTGACCCTTTCAACACTTCTCCCTTGAAATTCCTTTCCATTCTTATTCTCCCCGAGATGTTTTTGTGTCTTTTGTGTTCTTTTGTCACTTCGTATCTTCTCCAATATGTCAGAAGGCCCAAACATCCATTACGCTGGCTAAGCAGCAACACAATTTTTCCATCAATGAACAAGACCGCATTTGTTGACTGCCCTGGCAAGTAGAATTTATCCATAACTAAGAAGCCCTGCACATCAGCAAATATACAGGTAGTCCTCGACTTACAACAGTTCATTTAGTGACCATTCAAAGTTACAACAGCAGTGAAAAAAGTGACTTATGACAGTTTTTCACAATTATGAATGTTGCAGGATCCTCATGGTCACATGATCAAAATTCAGATGCTTGGCAACTAACTCATATTTATGACCATTGCAGTGTCCCGGGGTCATGTGATCCCCTTTGGCACCTTTATACAAGCAAAATCAATGAGTAAGCCAGATTCACTTAACAACCGTGTTACTAACTTAACATCTGCAATGACTCACTTAACAAATGGGGCAAGAAAGGTCATAAAATGGGGCAAAACTCACTTAACAAATGTCTTGCTTAGCAACAGAAATGTTGGGCTCAGTTGTAAGTCGAGGACTTCCTGTACTGCAAATTTAAGTTTATAGATGGAATATTCTGTGAAGAGAGTTTACATTGCGCATTCTCACATCATAAAAAATAAACCTGGAAAGAAAAATCAATTATTTAGCACTTTAGCACTTAAGACTTATTTACCGCTTCAAAGTGCTTTTACAGTCCTCTCTAAGTGGTTTACAGAGTCAGCATATTGCCCCCAACAATCTGGGTCCTCATTTCCTTTATTCTTTTTTAATTGGCTACAATAAATTTAGATGAATGACTGCCATGCACAATATCTTCTTATAAAAAAGTAACAGAAGGTACTTCAAGTACAGAATTCTGATTTTATGTTGATCCTGAACCACAGCACAAGCGGTCTTCCAGAATTTTCTTTTGTGATCTCACATGTAGAGATGATTCACACAAATTGACACTTCGTGATTCGGCACTACAAGACTTAAATGCAGAGGCAGAATCAATTCCTCAAGGCCTCTGGGCAGATCAATTCCATTCCACGTTTCTTTGTTTAAGGCAAGCCAGAATTTATCCCTTCATATTCTTCTTATTCATAGGTGTACATTCACTGTGTCAGGTTTCGATGTCATCTTAATTAAAACACTGTATATCAGAATTGCAACACAATATCTCATAATAATGCTGGTTCAAATGAAGATGGAAGCTATGTTTTGATTTCAAATTAGGAAAAAGGAGATAATTACTCTGCATCACCCATGTAGGCATTTTCCAGATGAGTAGACTTCCATAGTCTATAGTCAACATGTCTGAAAGACACCTCAATTGAGAAAGGTTGCTCTGAAAATGGAGAATAGAAAACAATTGTGTTCTTCCACTGTCCATAAAGCCATACATTTCCCAGCTGATGAACATATTAGAAGCAACCAAACCGAGTCAGTATTTTTGTATTAAATATAATTCATGTGTACTGCAAAATCCTAGCAATTCTGCAATGCATTGTGTGAGTTTGCATGATAAAGCAGGTTTTTCTAGATGACCACCCAACAGAAGAATTCATTGTAAAAATTACCTGGTTCTAATAATGCAGTTAAGTTCATTGTTAGGCCTTGTATGTATTGACTTTATTTTACAGAGTCACCTACATTACTTTCATTTTGCAAAGAACACAAATAACTTTTTGCTTAAGAATAGGGTTGGGCTGAGAGAGAACGACTGGCCCAAAGTCACCCCAACAGCTTTCATGGCTAAGGCGGGACTTGAACTCATGGTCTCTTTGCTTTCTAGCTTAGTGCTTCTAGCTTAGTGCTTAGACAAATTGGCACTTTTACTGGCAGACTAGATTCTAATCCCAACGTGGCCAATTTATATATTTTCAAATCCGCTTGTTAAACAATAATAAAGTGAAAATTTGCAAAACCTGCTTTACGGTGTGTCTGGATTAAAGATATAAAACCAGTGGTGGGATTCAGCTAGTTTGCACCACTTCGGGAGAACCGGTTGTTAACTTTCTGAGCAGTTTGGCAAACTGGTTGTTGGAAGAAATCATTAGGGCAGAGAACCGGTTGTTAAATTACTTGAATCCTACCACTGTATAAAACCCTACGTCATATTACAGCAGGGTCAAAGGTACATAGTTACCCACCTCTACAGCACTGCATTTATACCTGCTCCTGAACTCATGGCAAGAATACCTGTTGTGACCCCGACTCCCGAGCCTGTCCTAACAGAGGAGGAGGACTCAGAAGGTGATGGGGAGGAACTGACAAGGCCTCCCTCTCCAGGACCCTCCTTTCTGGCAATGCCTCAGGTTCCATCCGAAGGCCAGGAGGAACAGCCTGGGATGTGCCAGGAGGAAGGCATATCGGAGCACCAATTGATAGGGAGCGAGGATGATGAATCCTGGCTTGATCCCAGGCAGCGTCGGAGGGAGAAGCGTGCTCAGCAATGGAAGACACGTAGGAGGGCCAGAGATTGAGCTGAGTCACAGAGCCACGCCCCACCAGGAATAAAAGTGGGTGGAATTGTTCTTCAGGCTTTGTGACGGACAAAGTTAAACTCTGAAAGTCACATTGTGATCTCTGAAATTTGGCTTGGATATATTTTGGACTGAACATTAACTAAACTCTTGTCTCATGGATAATTTGTTGCTCCTGGAATGGACTGAAGATAAGTCCTCTTCTGCTTTATGGGAGTGAAAACGGTCTTGGCAGGCATTCGGCAGTTTGTTGCCAAAACCTTGGTCTGCCAGGAATTCTAATCTGTTTACCTAATAAAATATTGGCAGGCGTGCTTGGTATTACGTTTGCCTGTGTGAGGAAGAGGGACAGAACAATACCTGAAGTCTGACACATGAATGCAATCAAAACATATACAATAGTCTATACTACAGTGGAACTACCACTAAAGTCATATGGCCACCTTTGATTAATTGCAAATATATGTACAGGTAGTTCTCGACTTATGACCACAATTACGACAACAATTGAGCCCCAAATTTCTGTTGCTAAGCGAGACCATTACGTTTTGCCTCATTTTACAACTTTTCTTGCCACAATGGTTAAATGAACCACTGCAGGTGTTAAGTTAGTAACATGGTTCTTAAATGAATCTGGCTTCCCCGTTAACTTTGTTTGTCAGAAGGTCGCAAAAGTGGATTACATGAACCCGGGACACTGCAACCCTCATAAAGGTGAGTCAGTTGCCAAGTGTCTGGATTTTGATCATGTGACCATGGGATGTTACAACAGTCGTAAGTGTGAAAAATGGTCATAAATCACTTTTCTCAGTGCCATTGTATCTTCGAATTGACACTAAATCAACTGTTGTAACTCAAGAACTACCTGTATTCTTCCCTTTCCAAACTTATAACAATCTTTCTAGAAAGCTAGCAGCAATAGAAGAAATGGAAAACAAAATAAAAATAAAAATAAACGAATGGCCTAACAAATAAAAGCACAGTGTGTTAGGAAACAAACACTGGATCTATTCAATCAGCTCTGTCTATAATGAGCACTGTACTGAGAGGAAATAGACTCTCCGGCCTATCCCAAGAAGATAGCTCTAGGCATTCTCCACAAAGGCCTTGTTCACTCTGTGCTTGAGTATAGTAACTGGCTTATGGAGGTCAGACAGGATTTGGATTTCTGAAGCTCTCTGCACCCAATAAAAGAAACTTCATAGAGGAAGAAAGGAAAGAGGAAAGCAAAAGCAGAGAGAAGTCAGCCACAAGTTCACTCCCAGGAACTCTGCATTAAAGTCGTGATATCTGACAATGACAGAATTCCAGAAAACTTCAGCAGCAAATGAGTAACAATGTTCTTTATAAATTAGGCAGCTTATAATAAAAAATAACTTAGATTAACCCTTCTCATAGGTAAGGAACAATACCAGGGAAAAAAATTCCCTATTAGAAAGCCATGACACTAATGTTCTTAGCTGTGAGAAAGATGATTGAAATAGGTCTGTCAAAACAAAGTTCAAAATACGGCCTTAAGTAGTAACAGTATTTCTGAATGCAGAGCATAACTTCCAAAAAGAGATATCCACTATGCCTTCATAAAGGAGAGACAGCTGGGTTAAATAAGAACTGCAAGGAAAGGTATCCTGGCTAGAGCAAATAAAAAAGAAGGGGATGGAAATTAGTCCAATGACATGTCTTTATTGTAAAATCCAGGCTATTCATCTTTAAAACTCAAATATAACAATTTCCCACCCCACCCCTCCACTACCACCTGTGGAGTTGCAGCAGCAACTGTTCATAATAAACTACTGTTCTTTCCTGTCCACCCCCTCTGGCAAGGTAAAAAGTCAAGAGGACAAATCAAACAGACCAAACAAGAGAGAAATCTCACAATCATTTTAACTTATTCATGAATAACACCCTGCAAATTGGAGAAGAGAGTCAGAAGCATTACCTTTCTAGGGCTTCCTCTCCACTTCTAGAAGCAGATAGGTATCTTCAAAGGGCTGTGAATTCTTGTGTGCCCTTGCTGTACACTCCTTTATTGCCACAATTTTAATCACATGATTATCCAACAGACCGGCTTTGCCAGTTAAGTTTTCTCCCCTTTTTATGACCCCGTGCCCTTCTTTAATGACTTGTTCTTTTTTTCTGTCCCCAATCACAATCCTCCAAACCTGCACTTTAGGGAATCAGGACCTCCTCCTTGTTATCATTGCTCCTCCCGTTTTTCCACCTGCATAGATTGGAAAATGGAACTTAAATATTTCAAAAAACAGGAAAAGCTACCCAACCTGTTGGTAGTGGCCAAGCATTCAAGTAGAAGTTTACTCAATAGCTATGAAACAAGTTTCTCAACAGCTTTGCAGCTGTTGAGAATGCAGCTTTGTAACACTAGGTCAGCCAATGTTCCTGAAACTTGGCAAGGGTTATTCTGAAGCAGTTAATATAAAAAAAGACAAAAAGAAAGAAAATATCCCAAGGAATAAAGTAGAAAACCTCAATTAACAACCACAAACACTGAGATTTGCTTCTATGTAAAAGAAAACTTTGCAAAATAAGCAACATTATTACACAAGAATTACTAAATAATATTGTGTCCAACAGTGATAATACAAGTTGAATTATTTAGACTACCCAAAATTCCCCCCTCTATTTTGCATGCACCATAATAAACATATCTGTCAGTTCAGAGCCCTGAGAAAGTATTCTATGAGCAACAGTTCAATTTTGGAATAAATCCACTAAGAAAGTGAAATTATCTCATAGAAGCTTTTGTGTTTCAAATATAAATTTGGAAAAACTGACAGATCCCACTGTCTTGTATTCAGGTTGTTATCTGATTAAAATTGCCATTCGTATCTAAGCATACACAAAAGATACCTATCACTTCTTAGTCACTTAATGTAAATAGCAAGAATCTGTTTACTCTATTAACGGATACCTTATCTATGCTAAATGTTTCCAACCAAAAATCCCAAAATAACAATTGAATGCTGTACATGAAAGTATGCCCATCTGCTCAGAAAAAAAGCAAATGTGAGCAGATTGCATCTTAAGGAAAAACCAGAGGAAACATTTTGATAAAATTGCGTCTTGCAACAAGTTTCATTCTTGGGGGAGCCATTTTGTAACAGGACAAGTTTTCTCAATAGTCATATTTCTGTTAGGGCAGAGGTGTCAAATTCAAGGCCCGTGAGCCGGATCCGGTCTGCAGGGTGCTTAGATCTGGCCTGCCGGGCTGCCCTGATAACAGCGGACCGGCCCACAGTGCCTCTGTCAGTGAAAATGGAGCTTGGGAGTGCTGTGTTCGACCCTCCCAGGCTCTGTTTTCTGCTGTGACGATCTCCTGCAGCCCTCTGCCAGCGAAAACGGAGCTCGGGGAGGTCGAATGGCAGAGGGCTGCATGAGGCTGTCGCAGCCGAAAACAGAGCCTCGATGAGTGACATTGAGCTGACCATGCCCAACCTGGCCCCCCAAGGTCAAACACAACCCTGATGTGGCCCTCAATGAAATCGAGTTTGACACCCATGTGTTAGGGTATCTGTAATATGCTGTCAAAATTGCAACTGTGGAAAACCAGCCCTAAAAGGTTGAAGGTCCTGAACCTCAAGTGAAGGTAGATCTTGTAATTTTCAGCTGTATCAAAATTACTTTTCAACAAATCCACTTGATAACAGGTCAAACGTAATATATGTAGTCTTTAATGTTGCCAAACAATAATTGGCAAAAACAAACAAACTACAATAGCTTTTAGAATATTTTGTACTCTAATTGTGAAAAGCAATTAAAAATTGTTAATTATTCTTTATGTAAAATGCCAGGTATCTGCTAGGATCACTGAACAATTCTTTTTTACTTTAGAAAGCTTTAGAAATCAGATGCCACAATACACATTTAATACTGTTTGATTGTATAAACCTAAGATAAACCCAGAGTCACTGTTACAAGATGGGCAGCCATATAGTTTGATTAAATATTTTTTAAAAAACTTAAAAGCAGTAGTATAAGTTATTTAACAAAACTAAGAACACTCTAAGCAAGTTAACACTACCTACTGTAAGTGCTGTTCATTTCAATAAAAAAATATGAGTTTTGTAATCTTAAACATGTATACTTAGAGTATCCTTATGAATTGCAGAATGCTGGCAAAAATATAAGCACACTCTATAAAGGCTTTAAAAACTATTTGAAGTATCACTGTAATCAGTTTAACTTGCTTTCATAGAAATCTGATACCAATGTAAATGTACTTTCCTTCTCTTCCTCTCACTCTTTCCTGCCAGTAATTTGAATTCTTTATTCATAAATATGAACACAATCCTATTCACATTAAAAATAAATTACATTTTGTCAGTAAAACATACTTTGGAAATAAGCATTTTTAAGACTGTAGCCAGCAGTTATAAATCTATCTATTCTAATTTAGAAGTAAGCCTCAATGAAATGAGTGGGAACAACTTCCAAGCATTTTAGGAAACCATGCCTTGTCTAGGAATTCCAAGATTCTTCAGATTAAAGCAGATTTTTGATTCAAATCCAGATTAAATAAAAGACAACCTCCTCCCCCTTAACTGCACTGGTTAACAAAAGACTGAGGTGTGACACTTATATACAAGGAAATAGATTCCAAAATATAGCACAAACTCAATACAAATTGTTTTCCATCTAAATTGTTTTGTTGGATATTTTTTTTCTACTACAATAACAGATCAATGTGTATTGAAGACAATGATCCCAATATCACCTAGTTTGCCAGATATATTTTCTTCCGCTGAAGCTGAAGTTTTGCACATAGAAATAAAAAAGCAGGGCTCTCTTTCCTTCTCCTAATGGAAGAATCCTTATCCCCATTCCTGAAATCCAACATTTTTTTCTTGCAAAGCAGAGAAATGGGCCAGAGAAGTAGACATGATACTTTAATTCATTCAACCAACCTCTTTCAGGCAGTTTAACCGACCTTATACCAAAGGCAACCTCCTGCTAACCGAAGCCAATACTTTGAGTTGCTGATACAGGGAGGAGTCTTCATTATCTTCTTTGTTGCTAGGGGAAACTGTGCCCAGCGCTCAGGTAGGTCATGGGTTGGTTCCTCATACCTTTTATGACAAAGCATTCTGGGTAATGTAGTTCGGCAGTTCCCACAGGTTAACATTCTTTGTGAGAAAGAACTACAGCTCCTAGCATGCACTGGTCATGCACACCTGAGTAAGGTAAGTGTTTTATATTTACTCAGGGTGTATCACACAGGTGACACAACTAATAGGGAGAGTCTGATATTGATCTAAGGTGTTTCTTGCTGGAATTTTAATCCTGTGTTTTGTTCCCGGAGATTAAGCATTTAATTTACTGAGGCTTTTTTTTCTCTCAAAGTAAATGTATATGGGGTTGAACTAAAGCAATGTTAGTGGGCTTGGGAAGGTTCAATTTTATTGAAGGGTGAGTTTAGCACTGCTCCCTCTCAGCACATATGAAGGGAAAGATTTTACTATCATTTGACTTTGTTTTTGGACTCCAGACTTAGGAATGCAGGCAGGTGCTCACTTACGTAAATGGTGAACCAGGTACTTTGAAATGTCCTTGCATTAAAACTGCCAATCAATGATACTTAAATAGAAAAGGGAATATTCCTGCTGAAATATTTAACAGTCTGAAGACTCAGGAAAATGGACTAAGATCATAAGAACATTGTTATCATCACTTGGGTTTCTGGTACTTTTGTCTTTCTGAAAGAAATATAGGACTCAGGTGAATAGGGCCTGGCTTTCCCCCTTTTTGCTGTAGAGTTTGATGCAAACTGTGCTTTGAAATAATGGAAGATGCTGTTAGCATGGGACAGAAATATTTTTTCTCATTCCCAAAGATATTGTAGCGAATGTGTTTTCCTGCTGGAAAGTACATTGCAGAATTAACCAATTATAATTTCTCTCACACACTTTTTGGACTTCAGCTTGACCCATCTTTTAGACCAGATGGTGATTTCCTCTTCCATTACCCATTTTTCCAGAATGTTTACCATATTTTTTGGGTTCTGTTTGTGTCAAAAGCGTTAAACTAAAATGCAGGATTTTCCGGTCAATGGTTACTTTTGGCTTGTGGTATGTTGGACATACTTTAAAGCACAGACTTCATCAAATAAGTAGGTAAGGCAAGACAAATGTGACATAATTACTCTTGAATATATGAGTATGATTACTTCCCAGATATATAATTTTCCAATCTGTTACATTAAAAAAAATATTCAGTAACTTTTCAAGAAGGTTTAATGATCCAGGGTGCTTTGGAGCTTCAAGAAGTATACTTCCATTATCCAGTCATTGTGTAACCTTGGCACTAGCCTTTCTGAAAATATGTTTTATTAAAACCAGATTGCTAAATGGCCTATCCATGGCAAGTGTAGAATTCAGTATAGAAACAGTCTTAGCCTTCCTCAATATATTACTTCCAGATGAGAATGCTAATTGTTTCTTGTGGGGAACACAGACCTCTTAAACAAATTGTGAGAACAATTGACCAAAGTAAGGGGGGATATTTGGATGGTCTTGTTTTGGGGAACAAACTGAATCTATGACAATCTCCAAAGAGAAAGGTCTTGCTTGGGAGGGAAGAAAAGTTAGAAGTGGGCTCAGGATTGGCATCTTTTTTACCTCAGTTTGTTTAAAAATATATTCAGCAACTTACCTAATCTTATATTCCAATATATTAAAACTGGAAGACTGTATATAGCATTATGGGCATCTTTGGGTGTTAATTTGTTAAAAAGTATAAAATGCTGAAGTGTTATGCTATTTAACACTGGTAATCAGATACACATTAAATGTATTGGAAATCATACCTTAAATAACTAATGAGACATAAACAAATTATTACTTCTGGATTTTTGAGATTCACCACAGTAATAGCTGCTTTGAGACAGAATGTGCTGAAAGTATTAAAATAAGAAGAATGGTATATGTTAGTCAAGCTTCAGAATCAGTATTAATGATGTCTGTAATTTCATTTTTCTGCTTCTGCACTCCCAAACATAAATTAATGTAATTTACACTAATGAGTCATCAAACTAATCTGACATACAGAGAAGATGTACTGCAATACTAAAAAAACCTGTGTCCTTCAAAATAAACCACTTCTTATTGGGTACATTGCCAGCACACATAAAACATGAGGAAGTACAAAGTAGTGACTGTTCTTGCATGGCAATTCAGTTGCAGGTGCCGGGATGTTTCTTCTGCTAAATGTGCTCTAATAAAAATTCTATCTGTATTAGAGGGACCCTTTAATAGAAGTTGCCATACTAAAGTAGACGTGATTAGGATGAACCTCCGCTCCATTCATTCAATACAGGCTGCATTTCAAACTCTGAATATTAAGTACTATACTGCTAATGCCGGCTGTCACCCTATCAATATAAAAGCTTACATTCAGAAGGAAGGTAGGGGTGTGAAAGCCAAAGCACTGAGGTCTACTACAGTAGCTTAGAAGAGAACAAATTTGGACATATTGTCTTATAATTATTAACCCATTTTCAAGGTGGAGCATCTTGCCTCTTGGAAGATTTGACTTTTTATAACTTACATTTCTTTGGTCACAACAGTAGATTGATGAATTACTCTATTTATAACTTTTATTTTATAGACTTAATAGCCTACCTCTTTTATTGTTTGAGGTACTGTACCTTAACAGTAAGTTCTAAACACTTAAAAAACAAAGTATATATATAAAAAAGATGGCAATGAAATCCAGAAATTATTAGCCAATTCAAATTATTTGATTTTAAGAATAAATAAGCCTTTTTCCCCCAGAATTTCAGAGAGAAATAGTGCCGCATATAATCGAAAAGCAAAGTCCACAGCTTGCTATGGATTGTGGAATTCTGAATGGGATCATTCCTGAGTTACTTGCTAAAATTTTTCCAACTAAAATAAAACTCCAAAAGTTTCATTTTTATTTCTTAAAAATTTATTATATAAAATATTTTAATCCAAATTTCATATACATATTTTAATAATGTATTCTTTTTTTAAAAAAAATCTTATTTTAAACAAGTTGTAAACAGGTATTTCAAATCGCATTAAAAGTTCTTGGTCAAACAACTAACAGTCAAGTTTTTCATTTTATCTTTAAAACTTTTAACTTAAAAAAAAAACATCCTTGAACAAAATTCCTTAAACTTTGGAATAAAATGCTTGGCATCCATTGTAAACTCATACAAGTTAAGTAGCTGTTATTTGGTCTTTGTATGCGCTTTTGAATCTAAACTCCCAATTATAAATGTGACTTCAGGAGCCAGAGAATATAATTGTCACTGATCACTGAAATCAATAGTTAAATTTAACTCTAAATAAAAGAAAAGCTATACCCAAACAATTTAGAGTTTGATAGTAATACAAGTAACTTAATGCAAACAAATTAAATTCACAGATAGGGAAGCATGGGGAAATCTGAATTAAAGGATTATAATACCCTGTTTCCCCCAAAATAAGACATCCCCTGATAATAAGCCCAATTGGGCTTTTGAGTGCATGGCAATAAGGCCAGGTGCTTATTTCAGGGTTCAAAAAAATATAAGACAGAATCTTATTTTTGGGGAAACACGGTAGCAGAATATTACTTACATATTGACTTCAAGTTTTATTTATTTGTTTTGTTCATCTATAGGCTACAGATTAAATGTATACTAAATTAATTCAAATTTAAGTGCATAAATAAACAATACAAAATTTCAGGTACCCTTTAGTTTTTAGCATTATTAGACACCTGATTGGAAGGAAAACATAAAGGCATAAAAATCAAAATCAATTCAGCAACTGGAGCTCATCTTCAGTTCAATACATCACTCAGATGCCAACAAGCTACATTCCTAATAAATCCTCTTTTTTATATGTATTAATTTTACCAAGGTTCTTATCTTTGCTGGACCCAGCATTTTTGTAAACTTATCTTTCTGGGATAAACAGGATTCTCTAAATTGATTGAATTAATTCATTTTTGTATCAATATACATTACTTCTGGATTAGGCAGAATGCTCTTTATATATTAGATTCCAGAATCACTTGAATGCAGAATCTCTAATAACCCAACACAAAAGAACTCGAATACAAGCATCTCCTCAACAGCTTATTGGAATATGGGAACAATGTATGCATTAGATCTCAATAAAGCTGCCCATTTTTAGTGGCAAATTGGATTACTCTTAAAAACTGATATAGAAGAAACCTGTTCTTATATATATCAAAATGGCATGCAAAGGTTGGGAAAATAACCTAGAAATGACAAGCACAGTAAAGACAAGAGAGATTTTGAAGGGTTTCTCTATTAGCTCTCCTAAATATAGAGAGCTGTTTCAGATTATTTGTAAAGAGGGGATATTGACTGTACTACACATTGGGGTTATTTGGCTAAGGAGTCTGTTAGGCAAGCAACATATGTTTACCCTAATCAAGGTTTATCAGCAAATGAAGAAGAACAATACATATATATGATGATGTATATATACAGTATGATGGCAAGTATGTATGTATAAAGGAATGACTTTATATTTATGGACAATGTACTCACATTACACCATGGTGGCAGGACTGTATATTTTATTTGTGTATTGGTGCATAGAATATATTAATAAAAATTATTAAAAAAAAAAGAAGAAGAAGAACAATACAAGATCCTGATATTCTACATGAAGTGAGAGACTGTTTAGGGATTTCCTATAGTACCGGATTATCAGTCTGAGTTAACGAGGTAAACAGCATGTCTGAGTAGATGTTAGCTTGACAACGAAGGTCACAAATGATTTACTGACTGTAACTTCTTACAGAAGAATATGGGAACATTTGAAAATGCTTCTAGCCTTCGGCAATGCTGTATTACACTGACCATGATATGTCATCTGGTAATTGTTTCCTTCACTTGGTCTAATTTTTCCTAAAAACACTGACATTTCAAAGCAGTTGTACCATCCAAAGCTATTTTGGTGACAAAGTATAAAGTCCAAGAACAGTGCAAGTGATAGACCAGGGATAGCTGCAGATTTCTGCTGGCATCTTCAAAGCTTGTAGCACCATTTCACTCAGCACTTCCTGTGATAAGTCCATCATGTTTTACTATATTTCTGTGGAATCATCCATTGCTCTGAAATACAGAAAAATAGTTTTTATAATTTCAGTTGCATTCAGCAGCCTTTGAATTATACTGTGTATACTTCAATGAAACAATTGGACTTTTAAGACATGTGGTCTTGCTTACACTGATACAGGAAATCGTAGGACACATTTGTGTATATATGAGTTGTGTTTATTCATACACTCATGTATGAGTTTATTATATACTAGAAAACCCATGATCCCATGGATCATTGTTTCAGAGATATTTTCTTAACAGATTCTTCAACATCTTCAATAATGGCAGAGCTGCTAATGTATTGGAAAAGTTCTTTAAAATGTAGCAATAACAATAGCAATAGCACTTAATACTGCTCCATATTGCTTTACAGCACCCTGTGAATGGTTTACAGAGTCGGCATGCTGCCCCAAAAAATCTGGGTCCTCATTTTATCAATCTCAGAAGGATGGACGGCTGAGTCAACCTTGAGCCCCATCAGGATGGAATTCCTGGCAGTGGGCAGAGTTTGCCTGAAATTCTGCATTCTAACCACTGTGCCACCAGATAGGGAGATATTTAGAGATATGTCTGCTTTGAAAATAGCTCATGTTAAACTGGATAGCACAGTCAAACACTACAGGAGTTGTCTATGGAGATTCTCAATCATTCAGGGGATGGTTGTCCCAAGGGTGCTTTTTTAAAAATTTATTATTATTTATTAGTTCGATTTATATGCCGCCCTTCTCCAGGCGGCTTACAATGCATTAAGCAATAGCCTTCATACTTTTGTATATACCTGCTTAGTAGGGCTTTCGCCCCCCCGCCAAGCGGTGTTCTTTTTTATACAAAGTCAGCTTATTGCCCCCACAATCTGGGTCCTCATTTTACCTACCTCGAAAGGATAGAAGGCTGAGTCAACCTTGAGCCTGGTGAGATTTGAACTTGCACTAATTGCAGGCAGCTGGCAACTAAGTGCTACTTTAAAAGCATTTAGTCCACTGCGCCACCAGGCTCTGTTTTGCTTCTCATCCAAGAAGCTTTTTGAGAGCTGAAGAAGCTTCTTGGATGAGAAGCTCAGAGCTCAGAGCTGAAGAAGCTTCTTGGATGAGAAGCAAAATGTCTTCAAAGAAAAACCAGAAAGTCCAGTTGCCTCTTGAAAAAAAAAAGCACCTTTGGGACCGCAGGAGTTGGTTCACCATAGTTCAATACAGGACATATTTTATAATATATTGCATTATGTCATAAGATGTTTTATTTAATTTGACAAATTTTAATTCCATGGGATTTATAGATCCTGGATTTTGGACACATTCCTCCAAGTTAGCCCATTTTGGGGTTCCTTATTCAAAAATGGTCACCCTACAATGTACCACTTCAACCCGTTAAAGGTTACACATAGACGAACAGGAGTTTTTGTAGTATAGGTTATCCTCAACTTACAACAGTTTGTTTAGTGACCATTCAAAGTTACAATGGCACTGAAAAAAGTGACTTATGACTGTTTTCACACTTACAACCATTGCAGCATCCCCATGCTTACGTGATCAAAATTCAGACACTTGGCAACTGACCCATAATTATGAAAGTTGCAGTATCCTGGGATCACGTGATCAGTTTTGGAGATCTTCTGACAAGCAAAGTCATTGGGGAAGCCACATTCATTTAATAAGTATGATTAACAACTACGGTGATTCACTTAACAACTGTGGCAAAAAAGGTCATAAAATGGGACAAAATTCTCATTTAGCTACAGAAATTTTGGGCTCAATTATTGTCATAAGTCGAGGACTCTCTATATATAGAGAGAGGGAGAGGGAGAGAAAGAAAGAAAGAGAGATCTGTTAAAACCTGCAGCCCATCCTACCACCATGCGAGACAACTATTTATTTCTGAACTGAATACAGAGCTAGTAATTAAAATTAATTGCACTGTTAAATAAAGTATTTCAGTTATATTATTCATTTATTCCCATCTGTATATACCAATCACTTTTTACATAAACAAATTCATGTGTGTACATATACAATCTCCACCTCTATCACAATCAGCAAAAGAGAAAAAACACAGGATGGGAATGAGGAAACAGGGAAGGGGTGGGAGGTGAACCCTGGATGGAAATGAGATAAGAGGAAGAGGTAACAAGGCAGGAAAAGGGTTAACCAGGCAAACAGACCTCCCAAGCAATAGCTAATCATTTAGCTGATCTTCAAAGACATCCGGGTTTTGATGCTATGTAGTCTACACTCACCTTTACCTCTAGTGACTATCTCTTATTCATTTTGTGTATTCGAATTTTGCTATTCTTTCCAGAGTATACAACACAACAAGAGCCTGGTAGTACAGTGAACTAAAGCACTGTTATTAACATCTGCTGCTTGCAATTACTGCAAGTTCAAATCTCACCAGGCTCAAGGTTGACTCAGCCTTCCATCCTTTCAAAGGTAGGTAAAATGAGGTCCCAGATTGTGGGGGCAATAAACTGACTTTGTATAAATATACAAAAGTATGAAGGCTATTGTTTAACGCATTGTAAGCCGCCCTGAGTCTCTGGAGAAGGGCGGCATATAAATTAAAGCAAAAAAACACACACACAATGTTCAATCTCCTCCTCCTCCTCCTCCTCCTCCTCCTCCTCCTCCTCCTGGCTTTCTGCTTTTAAGCAGGGCCTCCCTTTCTACTTGATAAATAAAAGTGGTGAAGACATGAAGGAACTACTGTCACTTGGACTCTCCTGCCAACAATCTGCTGGTCAAATTAATAATTACCTTTGCTAAAGAGACAGAGCTGCAGTTACTGATGGCATTTCTGAGATGGGAGGCTTGCTGAGAGTGTACTGATGTTATTGAAAACATTATGATACTTGACGAATGTATCTTGTCTTTTTATGTACACTGAGAACATATGCACCAAAGACAAATTCCTTATGTGTCCAATCACACTTGGCCAATAAAGAATTCTATTCTATTCTATTCTATTCTATTCTATTCTATTCTATTCTATTCTATTCTATTCTATTCTATTCTATTCTATTCTATTCTATTCTATTCTATTCTCCTTGGTTAGTAAGATAAAACACTTTCAATCTGGCTTCCAGAATAACAATGAATAGACACCAGGTTCTATTTAAAAAAAACAACTACTTCCTCATCTCTATTATTCAAGCTGGTATTTCTTTGATTCCACTCAATGCTCTGTTCAATTTTGCAAAACAGAACAGACAATAATCAAAAACTGAAGTTCATACAGCCCTTGAAAACCTTTTGGAAATCTCTCGGAAGCTTTCCAAATCCATCCCAAACAGATTTAAAATGTAAGAATAGTGGATTTTTAAAAAAATAATAACCAGGGTGTAAACATCTTCACTGATTTGTATTCTAATTAAGTCTAAACAAAATCATGATTTATTTTTACGCAGCCCATATGTTTTTGGATTGTAGCTTCCAAGATTCTATTCAATAGTCAGGTAGAGCTCTCAGCTTGGGGAAAAAAATGTAAACTCCTGATCTAAAAAGCAAGTGGTGATTTTAATCCTACAAGTGGTTGCTCATTCTTTATGTTATGTAAGCTCAAAAGTATCCATGAACAGCACGACTAGTTAGTGCCCTAGTCCCAGTCAGTCTTTACAAATGAAACAAACACATCCATAAATGTACGTGGATGCAACTGATTTGACTCACAGAAAGCAAGGAAGTTATTTAAAGTGGGATTTTCAAGGTTCAAACTACTGAAGCTTATATTGTATTTCCAGGATTGTACCCGGGAGGCTTCCAACCATACGAAAAAGCTCTAAAACAAATTGAGCACATCTAATGATCTCAAAGGTGTGAGAGTTCATCCCAGAATAAGAATGAAAATAGACTCCAGCCTGAGTTTGACTGTATTTGAAAATCGAGACAGGACTGGCTAAGTGAGAAATTTGTTAAGTGAGTTTTGCCCCATTTTACGACTTCTCTTGCCACCGTTGCTAAGTGAATCTGGCTTAACCCATTGACTTTGCTTGTCAGAAGGTCACTGTTGCAATATTTTTAGGATCAGACTCAATAATAATATTTAGAGTTAAGAGATTCAAATATATTTCTCTTTAATTATAGTAGGCATTCTATATTCACTGAATATTCACAGATAGAAGCAAGGAAAATGGCGAAGGTGGCTCCTTATATATACAAAGGGTGGAGCCAAGAGTAGGAGTGGTGAATTATGAATACATTAGGAAACAAAGAATAAGTTAACCCCTGATATCCCATATATACATTATTTACACATTAGGGGATAAGGCATTTACATCTGACAAATCCCCCTCTAAATGCCGGTTCGCTATACAACACCAATTACATTCAGATTCAGGACAATATAATACATACAATCTGGAAGTTAAGTATTTGTGCTGTTTAGAAGGTAAAGGCTTCGTCAATATGTCAGCCAATTGTTCAGAGGTATCGCAATGTACTGCTTTGATAAATCCATCTTGGGACAGTTGTCTCACATGTTTAAATTTTATATCTATATGCCTGGATCTTTGTCCAATGGCATCGGATCTAGATATTTCAATGGCCGCTTTATTATCTTCATGCATAACAAAAGGCAAAGCAGGTTTTTTCCAAACATCTGAAATTAAATCATTAAACCATACAAGGTTATTTGCAGCTTTAGATAAACAGACATACTCCGCTTCTGTGGTTGAAGTGGCTACCAATTCTTGTTTACCAGTGTACCAGTAAACTGGACAGTCATTTAACAGAAAAATATAACCAGAGGTACTTTTTCTGCATGATGTATCTCCAGCCCAATCCGCATCTGCGTAACATGTAAGTCTTGGTTCTTTGTTATCACTAGGTTCTAATACTAGACAAAAGTCCAATGTACTTTTCAGATATCTTAAAATTCTTTTGACAGCTTCCCAGTGATACATTGTTGGTTTACTAACGTGCCTTGATAATAAATTGAGTGGTAATGCAATATCTGGTCTGGTCCAATTAGATATATAAAGAAGTGAACCTATTACTGATCTATAGAATGTATTATCCTTGAAT